TAAACGTTTTATTTCTTTATCTGCTTGTGTGTTTACTGATTCATTTTTGTTGTGTTTATACCTCATACCACAGCCAGAAAGATTCTCAACAAAAAAAAGATACAAGTTTCCAAAGTGTTGGGCATCCGCACCATGAAGTCACTCAGCGTAGCTAGCCAGTTTTAGGAAAACTGTACCTCTTAGTAAGAGCTCTTCATTCTAAATGTACCATTGATTTCAGACAGATCTGACCTTTTCAAAGACTGTATCATGTGGATTAAAATAGAACATATTCATGAGTTCCTGTGAACATTTTATTTGTCAAATATGTTTGTGCCTTTTTCATATATTTGGCTGTTTAACAAAATGACAAATACATCTTTGAAATGTGTAAATGTAACTCCTCAACCCATGATAGTGACTCATAAATAAAATCGGAGAAAAGATGACGGTGAAAAAAGTTACCCATTATTTAGTTGGCTATTCAAATTTGTTAAAAACTTTCCAGGCTTAGCTTATTTCTGGTTGATATTGTTATATACAATCCTGACAAAGTTAGTACAAAATTAATTTAGAATATTAACATTGGATTGGACTTAAATAGACTCCAATAAGGATTATTAGTAAAATTATTATTTTTCAGTTGTTCAAATGTAATCCACAATTTTTTCTAGTCATATCAAAATATTATTTAAAATGCTGGGATTTTTTTAAAAAGCAGTGTTCACTCCAGCTTTACTGATTGACTAAACTTTGTTTCTCCTCCTCCTCCTTCTCCATCTTGTAATTTTTTGTGTTTCCAGAAAAAGGATTGGTAACTAATTCATTTTATAATGCAATCTGACATATGTCAGAAAACCTTTTGTCCTGTTTCTGGAAATTCAGTGTAGAATTGTAGCCTTTAAAAAATGTAGGAAAGTAAATATTTTGTCTCTGTGTATTTTCGAAATTTTCTGTCTGATCCTCCAAAGAGATTTGGGGGCATATGTGTTACTGCAGAGGGAAGGAGAATGGAAAAGTTTATTTTTGTCAGCTAATGTTAGGCATCCCACATTAATATTTCATTTTTATCTTACACGGAGGTTTAAAGTTTGATGGAACCTGCTCTCTCAAAGCCCCACTTACTTAGTGAGCATCACTGATAAATACATGTTACTTGAAAATTCCAAGACACTTTTACCAAACGCTTACAGATTAAACTAAAGTGCACTAAAGCTAAAAAAAACAAACTCAGCTATGAACTTTAGATACAGGATTTGAAGCTAGGAAAGTTATTGTCAAGAGCTTTTACAGATTTTGAACCTTTGGGATAGAGCTGTAAGCCATTGGGTGGAGGAGGTTAAAATAATGCAAGCACTTTCTATAAATTGAACAATGCAGAGGAAGAACAAGATATGCATCATGCTGAGCAAATATTACACCCAAAAGTGTTCAAAGGCACTAAGTGAAGTTAAATGCCTTATACTTCCCAATAGGTAGTATTATCTCAGCACGACAGATGTTATGAGGCACTGCAGAATGATTTTGAGTTTAGATTATTTTTAAAGCATATTATTAATCATTATATTGTTTCAGCACGATCCTTTTTTCCTACCACTGCTTATATACTCTTTTGCTAGACTTCCCAACAAATCAATATTTTTATTGTTCCTCAGTTTTGCCTATATTAAAATTGGTCACACTTTGTGTTGCCTTGTACAAAGATAATTACTTTACTTGCTTATCCAAAACGTATCCAAAACAAAACATGTGAACCTGCCACAAGAAAGGTGGCATGGGTTAAAAGGATAGGTTTGCATTACTATGGCTTAGTGTAGAAGGAATTTCCAAACTCCTGGTTGGCAGACCAATGTTTTTAGCCTATTTTGGGGGAAGGGACTTGTCATGAGGTTTTTAATGAGTGAAATGCATGTCAAAATGTTTGCAGCTTTGAATCAAAACAGCAACAGATATTGGCTCCAACATATTCACTGCAATTCTACATAAGCCATCCCCCTCAAACTTTGAATTAAAATTGTGACCCCCTGTCAACAAACACACACACACACAAACACACACACAGATACACACACTCACACACACACATACACATCCCAGAGGTGGGTTTCAGCAGGTTCTGACCAGTTCTGGAGAACCGGTAGAGGAAATTTTGAGTAGTTTGGAGAACCAGTAGTAAAAATTCTGACTGGCCCCCACCCCCATCTATTCTCTGCCTCCCAAGTCCCAGCTGATTGGGAGGAAATGGGGATTTTACAGTATCCTTCTCCTGCCATGCCCACCAAACCATGCCACGCCCACCAAGCCACGCCCATAGAACCAGTAGTAAAAAAATTTGAAACCCACCCCTGACATACACCCCAAAAATACAGTTCTGGTTCAACATGAAAAGTAACTTTAGTCCTATAAATTTTTTTCATGTTTTTGGTATTTTAAAATAAAGTGACCTTCCATACACTAGTCATGCCATACACCCAAAAAGCTTCTTTATATGTACCTAAAGGCTTTATTATGGATGAGATATTTCATTCCTTCCCTTTGAAAAACCAACTGATCTGGAAAAGCTAAACAGGGCACTTGGATGACAGATCACCAAGAATTACTGGGATATAGGCTAACTAAAAACTTCAAGAAGAAAACAATAGTAAACCCATTCTGCATTGCTGCAAAGAAAACTACATGAAAACAGTAGAAATGGCCCTCAACTCAAAGGGTGCCACTTGAGATATAAATTTGATAAATTCTGTAGATAGGTTGCTATGACTGAAAATGTCTCTTAATTTCTTTTCTGTTGCCCAGGGGCTCTTTTAAAACATGAATGCTGTAGAACAGTTATCTGCCATTCTTGCTTTTTTGGCAGTGCGGTTTTATTAAAAGCCCTCTGCTCTCCTCCCTTTCTCCTTCACTTTGTACTCTTCATTGGGGGTGTGGATTCTAAGCTCCATTTATCTTTTATTTTCCCATATTTCACTGATGCCAGTTTTCCCCTTTCCTTTCCTTCTGAAATACTAGTTTACCATTTGGGTGAAGAGTCTTTGTCATTGATTTATTTGTCTCTCTCTTTTTTTTTTAAAGGACAACAGACAGGCTTTAATTTTTAAAAAGGACACCAAAAAAAGAATATTTAGGACCATGTCACAACATGTTCTTAATGGACTTTTGAGTCTGTGATCAGCAGTTTCTGAATCCATCAGAACAAATTCACGTGCAATATTTCAGATTCACAATGGGGTTGTGTGGAGGAGTCTGTCTCTTTTTATAGAAGTGTAAGCAGATACACATCAGTTAACCCTGCATTTGTACCTGAAATGATCTCCTTATTACCTCCCATCCCCCTCGAAGTCCCAAGAAGGGCCAAGGAAAAGAGGTCACGTCACAGGCTAGATTCCCTGTCAGCAACCTGGAAGGAAAAGCACTTCTATCCCTTCCAGGAAGCTTTGTTTCTCTGAAATGCTTGTCGCATCTCCTGATCTGTTCTGAAACTGTGTTAATTAGTATACTAGTACTTTCATCCTAAGAATTCATTAACGATAAGATTGAAGATAATTGTGGCCCTTCCAATGCCCTTAAAGATCTCCTTATCCTTCACTATACTATCATTAAATCTGTACCTCTTGTTTATCCTTCAGCTCAAGGTGTTTCTAAGTACGTGCAGTTTCTTACAGCAAGAGCTATTTGGAGGCAGTTATCCTTCCACATGAAAGGCCCAAAGGAGAATCTGCCTTCAAATTATCTATGATTATTTATTTTTCACGAGATTTCCTAGAGAGCATGCTAAATTCAGTTATATGCTTGGTTTGCTTTAGTGAGACACTTCATTTGGTCAGTCTTTATGAGGTAGGCAACCTGGAGTATGCAGATTCTGTGATATAAACAAATATCTATGTTGAATGTGGATGGGTGGGGTGGTCTCTGCAGTGCATCTGGTTGTCTATGTTTTAAATTATTGTTCCTCTATTCTGAGGAAATAAGGTGTCAGAATTTAAGTTCCTTTTTCCTTTATTGGTTACATTCTGTGTCTGCCACACTATTTCTTTCAAATTTTTGTACAAGTTAATGGGTGTGTTAGTAGCTGTTCTCATTTAAGAAAATATCTTCTTCCCATTACTGCTGCAAAAGAAATACCTTTGCCTATTAGCTATTGAAATGAGGATATAATTCTCATTACAATTTGTTCATTCCTTTGGCTAAGAATATCTAGGCAGTATTGGCTAATGCATGTCTAGCATTAAGCTTGTTAACTATCTGGGAAATATGTTTTCCCTTAGTCCTTTGCATATATTCTTTCTACTGCTTTCTTCTTCCTATTTTCTTTCTGTTGACCATTTATTTATTTTTTTAGGATTCTTACATGGCTGCCCATTTTATATACCCAGATTTTGGCAGTTCACAGCAACAACAATTAAAACATGCAGCATGAAAAACAATTTAAAAACCAAACATTCAAAAGACAGCATCTAGCTATTCTTTGAAAGTAGCTAGAAGAGAAATTAGCTTGTCTTTGAGGGACAGAAAATAAAATCTTGAACCAAGTTATGTAGCCTTCAAGTTTCTTACAGTGCCACTCCCTATCAATACATTCCAAAACAAGATTCCTTGGTTTACTAAGAATTTAATAACTTCTAAGTCAACAGGGATTCTGTTTGCAATCCAAGTCCCAAACATAATTCTATTAATTAATAACAGATGAATTTAAATTGACTTTATTTTTCTTATAGCATTTAGAGAACTGTGAAAAAAAAACAAATATTTATACAACACCCTTTGCATTTAATATATTTCAAGAAATAGACTGCTTGAGTTTCAACTGTAACAGTATTCTTAAAATAGTGAGAAACTGATATTAGAATGATGTCAGAATCTTCTGTAGTTCTTTCCTGCCATCTAGTGGCTTTTCAACTGCTTGCATTTGTTCTGAAAAAATGTTCTGAAAACATTTTGTTCTGACAAACAAAAACAAAAACCTGATCCCCAAGATGTTAGATTATCCCATTTTTATTTTTATTTTTTCTTTTAATTTTCAGCTGAAACAAAGTGAAGCAAATGCAGATACCAAGGAAAAGCTCCCATTACGCCTACGGATATTTGAAAAATTCCCTAACAGGCCTCAAATGGTAAAAATCTCCAAGCTCCCTTCAGATTTCACAGTTCCCAAAATAAGGTAGTAAACTTTTTCTGCCTCCTTACTGCAAAGCTGACTCTTTTGAACTTCATAGGCAGAGGGTTTTTTGTTTTTAATTTTTTATATTTTTGGGTCTATAATAGTTTGTTTTTAAATGTGCAGGAGAGTTCTTTTTCCTGTCTCCGGTGCCAAAATTTACAACTCACTGAGCCACTTGGGCAGCAGTTGTTGTTGTTGTTGTTGTTGTTGTTGTTAAAAGTAATGTTCTCATAGTAATATGTTCTTAAAAATAAGCCCCAACTGTGTTCATAGGGTCTGTCTTTAAATTAAATAAGTTTGGTAATTAACACTATCATATATAGGAGAAAAACCTGGTGACCTACTTCAATTTTCCCCACTAAAAACTTTATGGGTCAACTCAAAGATGTGGAAGATATGGTACTGAGCAGAGAGCCCCCGTGGCTGGGAAGTACCAATAAAGCTCATGGGAAGAGCAAAGAGTCTATCATAGTAACAAGAGCATCCATGATGCAGATGGGGTAAATCCTAATGGCTCTTGCAGCCATTGACATAGCTCTTAGTGAAAACATGTCTCTCCACTGTTGAAAGCCAATTGCTTAACCACAAAGCCCCAGGAGTGGATGGAATTCATTTTAAATTGCTGAGACCACTGCCAACAAAAGCATTACCAGCACTTTGCCAAGTGTATGGAAGTCTGGTCAGTGGCCAAAAGAATGGAAAAGATCAATATTTATCCCAATACCAAAGAAAGATGATAGAAAGACTGCTCCAATCACGAGCCATAGCCTTGATACCACACGTGTGTAAAATTCTCTTGAAGATAATCTAGCAACATTTGAATCCAACTGCCTGATGTACAAGCAGGATTTTGGATAGGAAATCAAATTACCAATCTATATTGTATGATAGAAAAAGCAAAGGAATTCCAAAAAGACCGCTACATGTGTTTCATTAACTACACAAAAGCCTTTGACTGTGTTGACCATGACAAACTCTGGAACGGCCTCAAAGAACTGAAATTATCACTATACTCCATCTAGCTCATTCAGTCATTCTTCTCTGATCAGGCAGCCACTGTAAGAACAGAATATGGAAGATTCCAATTATGGAATTCCAATTATTCCAATTATGGAAAACATAATTTCTTATTATAAAAGCCCAGTCCAGTTCAGTACCACTAAAAAGAAAAACAAGAAAAACAAGAAAAAACTAGCATGGTTGCACAAAGAACTCTCAGACCAACAGAGGAAAAAAAGGATAAGTACAAAAAATGGAATCAGGGACACATAACTAAGGCAGAATACCAACAAATAGCCCAAACCTGCAAAGATGAAGTTGGGAAAGCTAAGGCTTTGAATGAAATAAGTCAAATGTCAAATATCAAAAACAATTTTTAAAAAGTTTATTTTGACAAAAAAAAACCAAGAAAAAAAAAGAAACAATCAGTCCACTCATGGGAGAAATGGCAAAGAAGTAATGGGCAGTAGAGAGAAAGCAGAACTGCTTAATTCATACTTTGCATCTGTCTTCAAGTAAAAAGAAAACAGTACTCAACTTAACAGAAACAGAACCATAAATGACAGGTTAGAAATGCAAATTAAGATATGCAAAAATAAGGTAAGAGAACACTTGTCAGCTCTAGGATTCATATCACTAGGTCCTGATGGATTACATCCCAGAGTTCTGAAGGAACTGGTCTTGAGACATCATCTCAGAACCATTGAAACATATATTTCAAAGTTCTTGGAGCATCAAGGAACTACCTGAGGACTGGAAAAGAGCTGATGTAGTCCACATCTTCCAAAAAGAAAAAATAAAGATCCAGAAAATTACAGACCAATCAGCTTGACATCAATACCTAGAAGGACTTGGAAAAGATAATCAAGCAACAAATCTGTGAACACCTAGAAGTTAACAAAGTTATAACCAATAGCCATCCTGAGTTTGTCAAAAGACAGATCATGCCAAACAAATCTTATTTCATTCTTTGACAAAGTGACTAAATTAGTGGATCAGCAAAATGCTGTGGATGTAGTATACAGTACTTAGATTTCAGTAAAGCAGTAAAGTACCATCAACAAAGATATGCAAGCCACGGGCCTGCGCCCTGGAAACGCAGCTGACCATGCAAAGTAGCGTTCAGTGATCTGAAAAGCAGACCCTGCACCTGCGGGAATACGCTAGGAAGAAGAAGATTTGATAAAGTAGATCACTATTGACTTCTTGGCAAACTAGAAACGTGAGAAATATGTTAGAGAAGTATTGATCGAAACACTACTATTGCTGAATATATTTGCAAAAAATGGTCACAAATCCCAGTTTGGATTCAAGTACATTGAGTTCAGTCACTGATTCTCAATTATTGATTGCTTCACAATTAGAACATTACCTTCAAATGCATTTTCTTTAGTTGAAAACAAGAGAATCTCTTTAGTCAATTTATCTTGAAAGTCTGAAAAAAATATCGGAGAATGATTTGGTATTAGAACTTGGTAACCATCCTTGGAACTATTATATCAAATTCTTTTTAAATGGGTTTATCAATTGATAAGTTATGAAGTATTGACCATGATAATCCATAGATTGCATTTGACTCTATTAAAAATAAACTTACTAAATAGTAATTTTTCTGGATTATATTGGAGGGATTATAAATACTTGTCTGGTAATAATATCTCATTAGTCTTTTACAATGAATCCTACACAGGTCTACTATTTTCCAAAAGCCCAATTGATAGAACATGCAAAAACTGATTCAGTTCCTATTGCTTGCTGCCCCATTTATTATAATAAACTATTGAAAAAATAAAATACATTTTATTGGTATTTCAAAGTGTGGAAATTGTTCTATTAGATAATATAATAAAGAGCTTTGGATGATATATGATATAAAGGATATATTTATTCAAATTTGGTTGTCATTTATTCGTTATACATATATAAAGGAAATATAAATAAGAGGCAGTTTCTCTGTCTGTCTCTCTCTCTCTCAAAAGGGAAAGCTTTATGAAGCAATTTATTGATCGACAGCAGCAAGATACAACTTGTTTATTGAGAAGGCTTCCATCAGCTTCTTCTTCCTCCTGCGATCACTCTAAAAGGCTGGCAACTGAAGACAAATACATTGACCAGAAGGCAAGTCACTAGATACAGCAGTATATAAAGATCTCTACTCATATTGTGATCTGACGTCTTAAATGTATGTGGGATGTCACTGTGGTTGTGATTACATTGAACTCATCATTTTTCTAGCCAGGAATGGATATAAACTAACCAGTGTGGGGTTGGTGGAAGACAGAGTTTCTTGGAAAGGTTTATGATTGATGCTATGAATAATAGAAAAGGTCTTCAGAAAGTGAGTTTGTGTGTATATGTATTTTTTTAACATTTCATGGTCTTTCTGAGTATTGATACCTCTAATGTTGAAGGGCAAAGAGGGACGATATTATTCTGTTTACCCAAGCTCTATAATAGTCAATATCAGTCAACCAACAATGAATGCTCTGTACACAAAGTCATAACTTCTAGAATCTGGGTTTTTTTTAAAGATCAGAAAGATATAAAAATAAATGTCAGTCATCTATGAAGGATCTTTTCTGAGGTCTTGAACGCTACTGTGAGATAATGTTGGGCTTTACGGATTGACTTAGTTTCCTGTACTCAGCAGGAATTTTATCTATGTGACTGGAACATTAGGTTGCATTTTGTTAGATGATTATAGCTTTCTACAGAGGCAATTACCATAGCAACCTGACATTTAAGTATATCCTCCAAAGTGTCTTCTCTCTAATATTCATTTGAAATAACAATTTTTAAAAATGAACATTTGTCTGTGTGCACAGCAGAACAGAAAGAAAGTACAACCTATAGAAAATGTTAATTAAACATACAACAGTGAAAACAAAAACAAAAGAAATGATCTGCTGACAGCTATCAGATTCCTTTGTGTGTATGCTATCTGTAGTTCATGTAGTGTGAATCAAATAACTCAGAATACTGAATGATATTATGAGAATGATAAAATTATGAGAATTAGATCACAACATTTAACAGAAATCAGATTTCAACTGTGGCTTGCAGAAGTCGTTCTGAGAATCTCTCTTTATTCTGGCACCTCTCTTTGTAAAACGAATAAAATGGATGTTGACTCATCTCAGCTTTATTGTTAGACTTAATTCTACTGTAAGCTATTTTTAAGAATATTTATCACCTGTTAGGTAAAAGACCTTTATTAAAAGGAATCTGACTGAAACCTCTGAAGGTTTTACCAACCAACTCGGCATAACTGAGATAGAATGAGATTATTTAGAATACATACTAAAATAATGCAAGATTTTCCATAAGGAAGAAGCTAGGTGTAATAATAACCCAGGGAACACGGAATCATAATCAAGTAAATAGAAAATAAAAATCTGTATCAATATTTCTCAACCTTGGCAGTTTTAAGTTATGTGGCTTCAACTCCCATCATTCTGTTCACACAGCTTAAAGTTATCAGTGTTGAGAAATACTGCTCGATATCAGTGGTCCGCTACCTTTCCAGCCTTGTGGACCAGCAGGGAAAAGAAAGGGATTGGTTCTGCATGAGCCGCAGGCATGCGCAGCTTCATTTGCATGAGTGGTGGGCACACCTCGTTTGCGCAAATAGAGCTTTGTGCAGACACATGCTCACCTGCTACTCACATATGTGGAACCGTGCACCCACCACTTCTGTGGAGCAGTTCCAAATGGCCCATGGCCTGGTAGTGGCCCAGGAGTTGGGGACCCCTGCTCTATATGGTTAACTTTCTCCTGTAAGAAGAGAATATATCTTTAAAGCATAGGAAAGATTACATTCTACCTTTCCTCCTCCTCCTCCTCCTCCTCCTCCTCCTCCTCCTCCTCCTCCTCCTCCTCCTCCTCCAAGATTGAAGTGACGTAGCTCTAAATACCATGGTAAATACCTCAGTTAATGAGAGAAGTCTTGTTCAGGAGGCTTTGCACAATATTTCCATACAGAAATTCTAATCCATACAGTCCAGACAGTTCTGATAACTCACCTAATATTTTGATTGTGCTTGCTGGTCACCAAGTATCATTTCGTTCAGTTTGGTAACCATCCTTTAATTTATATTAGATGATAAATTGATTTATCAAGCTAAATCATGCTTGATAATCAAGCAGCCTTTGTGTGGCCTGTCATTCTCTGAAGCATTTTTCTTGCAAACCATCTTTGTAGCATTATTATTATCCTCATTATCAACAACACTGCTTTTTACATTCATGTTTTCATATAGAATTTTTTGTTGTTGTTGTTTTCTATGACATCTGGGTTGTTGTCAAATATGATAGCTTCCCATTCATATATCGAATGTATAGTTATCTTTTTCTTTCTTTTGAAACCATCTGTCTTCCTTGAAGCAATTTTATAATCCTTATAAGGTCTGGCAGATTTTCTCTCTTAATCAGCATTTTTTTTTAAAGGCAGGTATGTTCTATATCCATAAAACTGGATTTAGTGTATTACAAAAAAAAAGAACTTTAAACCGCTGATCTACATTTCAATAAAAGTTTCTGGTGTAATTTTTGTGAAGATTTTTCAAGTATCTTTCAATATACATGTTAACATACTAAATCCCCAGAATGTTCAGAGTATGCATATAAACTAGATGGAATCTTTCTTTCAAAGGAGCCTGCAATATAATTCCATGGGCCAAGTTTCATTGGAGAACTCCAGCATCATATTCACAACATACCAGGATAGTAGATGTCAGAGTCTTTCTTACTGAAGAACATGGTGGGAGATAAGGCTCTGAATTCTTTAGATACAAAATTTCCACAACCCTGCCAAATCCCCACCACTGGGACCGGAATGGGACAACTGGCCACAGCTGCCTGGTCCCGCCCACTTCACCTCAGCTCCTCTCCCCCAGCCAACCCACCCACTTCCTCCCCATCTGCCCTTCCCCTGCTAATCCTCCCCTACCACTCATTGCCTGCAGCTCGTACAATTTGCCACACATGTTGAGATTTCATATTATTGAATATAGAGATTGGAAACCAGAGGGAGATTTTGATATCATATTTTATAATTTCAGGACTGTCCTTTTCATTTTTGAAAGAAAAATCTTATTAATTTGTTATTAAACTGCCTGGATAATTTATAGATGGCCATTAATAATTGTACTTATTTATACATGGTCTTTATTTCCTGCCTTTTCACTAATGATGAGCATAGTATGCCAGTATACTAAGGTATATGGTAGAAAATATGGTACCATGTACACCAAATCATCTTCAGATGAAGTCCAAATTCAAAACAAACAAAAATAATTCTTGGTTCACCATAATAGTGTTTGTCTGCTTCCATTTGATTTCAATAGCTAAGGTTTTAAGCAACATGCTCTAAGTACTAAGACTGTCAATAAAGTTGGTTTCCTTTTCTTTTACAGCTTCGCAAATCTGTTTTCAGCATTAGGGCAAGAAATCTTCTGGAGAAGGAGTCTGCAATCAATAAAATTCTTAGGTATTAAAGAGGGATTTGTGGGTCCTTTCATTATGAGTAGGTTTCATGTAAAATGAAAGCAATTTAAAATGCAATGCATGACGATTTGCAGCTTGAGATCCAAGTTCCACACAATGGCTAAGTCTAAATCAAGAGTGAGACAAATAGAGAAGGTTGCCATTTTAGTGATGAGACTTACTGACAGCTGACTTAGTGAATTAGTCTTGAGCTAGCTCTTTTCATCCTAGCTTGAAAAATGGCATTTATTATTCAAACCTTTCCATCCCTTGCATAGACAATGTTTGAGAAAGCTGTCTCTTATCCTTCCCGAGAGCTGCATAACAGTATCTGCAGTTTCCTGGCTATGCATGTTTCAAGTTCAATTTTAAAACAATGCTTTGGATCATGATGGTACAGATGTAAGTCTGGAATTCTTTAAGACAACTGTGTCATTTCCATGATCCCAGAAAATTATGTAGGTTCTTTAAAAAGTTGCACACCAATGTTACATTCAAACGTTCGAAGTTATTTCCTAAATGCTGTATATCCCTAATTATTACTTATCATAGTATCTGTTTACCTAGAGCCTGTACTCGTCAGCGTATGCTTAGTGGATCTTTGGAGGGACAGCCTGCAAAAGAACGATCTATTCTTAGTGTTCAGCATCATATACGTCAAGAACGCAGGTAAGCAGAACTCAATAAAGCCTTTTAAGAAATAGAAGATAAAATTCTTTGTAAGTTACACAGCAGACATGAGTAAATTAGAATTAGTTCATAACAAATGACAGCTGTATTTTTATTGCAATAATAATGACATTATCTTAATAGAAAACTCTTATATTTTAAATATAATTGTTTTTAAAATATCCAAGTTCTGGTTGTAAACAGTCAGGAAAAAAATTATGTAAACAGGGCGATCCAATCATGACCTTTATTGTTCAATTGCCCTCACAGATTTATCAATTAGTTCAGTGATGTACTTTTTTAGTTAACCTTTCACATCATCACTTTTTAAATAATTTGTCTCTTTTGAGAAAATCCATTAAAAAGGAAAAAAAATGAACTGCTCCGCCATCTCTTTGGATTAGTTCAGGGCTGTCAAACTCCGGGCCCATGGGTCAGATGCATCATGCACTGGCCACGCCCATGCCCAGTTTAGCGAAAGAGAAAAAAGTCCCAATACGTCACGTGAAGCCGCCGTGACGATGTGAGTTTGACACTCCTGGATTAGTAGAACTAGGAATTCTGCACTGCAGGTACAACGTCTTACTTCCCTAACTTAGCACCTTTAATATCTGTTGACCTTCAGCTGTCATGATTCCCAGCCGATGTGAATCACCAATTGTAGAAAGCAAAATGCAGCTGAGTGTAATGCAAAATTAAATCCATAATTGTGAAGTCTGTTGTCCTACTGATGCATACTCAGTGATCTCAGTTTTTTCACCAAATGAATGTCATTATTTCAGGTCACTAAGGCATGGCTCCAACAGTCAGCGAATCAGCAGAGGAAAGTCTCTTGAAACATTAACTCAAGATGTAAGTTTAAGTGAATAGTCTGAGTCATACCTAAGTAAAACTAAAAACAATGAAATTCAAAATACCTTGGTTATTTTAACACAGATTTCTTTAAACCCTGTAATGCTGGTATTACATTTGAGTGCATTCTTTTGTGAAATGATTCTTTCAAGTACAAAAACAGCATTCACAGTAATTTCAAATTACACAATTACTGAATCTCAGTTCACAAATGAGCAAAGTAAATTGTTCCTGGGAATTATAATTTGGGATAAAAGACATCTCCAGCTGGTTCAGAATTCATAATAATCCATCACATCTTTCCTGGTATACTACGGTACTTGGGCAAGATGACAGCTGTTTCTCATTAGCAAAATTGCATATAGCATACAGACAGTCATCATGTTTGGCCAGCAGACAAATCCTTGTCTTACTTTATGCAGATGATACTGCCTACTCTTTCCTTCCCAATGGTGGGATTAAGATGAGTGTTATTGTCCTTCACAACTAATTGTGAGAAAGAAAGATATACCAAAAGTTAAATCAAAGCTTGAACTTAAGTTCCTGTCAAAAATATTAATGGTAAATGGAACATTAGTGAGCATGTTCAGAACAAATAAGATCGTCTGGGCATATTTCACAACACTCAAATCCTTTATGTTACACACACAAAAAGCCAAGGTAATTATCTACAATGTGTGTGGGTTTTTTTCTATCTAACTGTTGGCCCTCATATCCTCAACCCTTTGGTGATATCAGGACAAAATAGTTAAGTCCTGTGCTTATAAATATTTATATATTTTGAGAAAACACCAATGCAAGTTTTTGAGGGTGATCTTTGGATCTCTCTATTGGATCCCAAGTGCTGCTTCATAGTGAAGCCAACCTTATTTCTCTAGAACCCCAATTGTGACAAAATAGACTTGCCATGCCTGAAGCTATTCTAATGCTCCCTTAGCCTTCTATAATCAACATCCTTCCAAGTGGATCAACTTTGGAAACTTAGGATATCTGGCTTTTCACCATCTTTTATGGCATTTAAGTTAAATAATCTCTTAAACAATGTATTTGGGACATGGATAAAATAGCCTGATGTTGTGCAATTGGAAATATTATCAAAATCATTGTCCTGCTTCTTACTTTTTCGGTGATTTCACTTCAGAAAACTGCTATGCCTTTTTACTATCCCAGCTAAACATTCAGCTTTCTGTAATATTCAGAATGGCTACATTCTTGTTTCTACCAAGTCAGGGCCATTTGTTCTGTTTTATTGGATTGACTGTTGCTCATTAATCATAATAAATTGTTGCTTAAGACCCATTATTATCAATCATAGAAATTAAATGTAATTTCTAACTCACTAATAACTATTTCAGTGCTGAATTAATATTAAACTCAGTAATATCTTCAAACGTTTAAATTTAACTGGACCAATGCAATAATTAAAATGCAGAATGGTAGAGAAAATGTTTAACAATAAATAGCTGAACATGATTACTGATAGTTATTATTTTCTCCCAATCCAGATTAAAAACTTTATTTTTCTCTTTTAAACATTTTATGCAATTGCATACTGTTAATTTTTACAGTAAAAAATAGAAAACAGATTAAAAAAAACATTTTTCTTCCAGCATTCTAATACAGTGAGGTACAGAAATGCACAAAGGGAAGACAGTGAAATAAAAATGATCCAAGAAAAGAAAGAACAAGCAGAAATGAAAAGGTATTTTAAATGTAACTTTTATGCCAGTATATAAGACTGATCTGAATCCCGGTCATTACTTAGTGAATTTTAAATGGTTACTCCATTGATAGATTGATTAAATCTGAACCAATTGCTTATGAGTGGAATCAAGCATATTTTCTTTATATAAATGCATAAATCTCAAAGGCCAGCATCATTTTAAAAGGGACATTCTTTGCTGGACATACATTTTCTTGCAATCATAACAGTTAGTAGCATATTTAGGACATTTTAATCAAGGGTCCAACCTTCTCTATGGGAAGAAGAGGTTGGGATAGTACTTAGCCACAGAAAATCCTAAAGATTATCTGGATGTTTGTTGGTCAGGATTCAGGCCTAGTTACAGGATGGAAGTTGCATTGCTCATTTCAAGAGATGATCTGTGGTGGAACCACAATGGGGGAGTGCAGCTTTTCCAGTCTTACTGAATCTATCAACAACCTTCAGTTCAACTGAACACGGTATCCTTCTGAACCATGAAAGTTGCCTGTCTTACTGTCTTCTCCTCCTTGAGGACTGGTTTCAGTCAGCGATTGGGAAATAGGTCAACTTTACAAGAACTCCAAAGTAGAGAGCTGGCGGTGGGAGTACAACCATGCTTTCCCTCCCTAACGCTTAAGGTATATATCAGGGGTTCCCAACCCCCCAGGCCACAGACTGCTACCATCCCGCTGACCATTGGGCACCGGGCCACCAAAGTGGTGGGCAAGTGCACAAAGCTTCATTTGTGCATGCACAGGATTTAGGTTGCGCACGTGAAACATTCCCCCCGCCATCAAAATCGCAAAGCCACCACCGCTGCCACTCTGCAGAATCCAAAGGTTGGGGATCCGTGGTCTACATGAAGCCACTATTTGGAAAGGTTATGTGTCAGCACTGCATGGAGGTATCACTAATATCCGAATGATACTCAATTGTATAATCTCCATCTCAAGATAAAAGATGGTTGTTGTTGGTTTTGATTTTGAACTGGTGGCTGAAAGCTATGAGAATCTGAATGGGGGGAAAAACAGCAAGCAAATAGTTTAATAAACAAGGGTTTGCTTTTTCTATATTTATAGCTGCTTTTCCAGTACTTTTCCAATGTGCCTCACAAATGTTAGTTGACTGATTATGTACCATCAGTTAGTATCAACTCTTAGTAACCACATTGCTAGATTGTCCCCAAAACAAACCTGGTCCAATAGTGCAGCCATAACCACTGTAACTGAGTCCACATACAGAGTCTTGGTGCTCTCTGAGCTTCGTTGTTCACTTGCAGACGTTTCATTAGGTAACATCATCAGTGTGATACTAGCAAGCAAACAAACAAGTTCTGGTTTGAGAGATTCTTAGAACTCTTGTTCAACATTTCTCAAGAGAGATCCATTTCTTGTTCAAGAGCACTTTCTAATATTGCTCCATGTTTCCTTCAAGGTGGCCCTTTCATTGAGAAGCAGCTACAGCTTCTCAATCATTCTGTGAATTTTTCACATAGAAAAATTTCAAATGCATTGAAATCTTGTAGGTTCACCCTCTGAGTCTTTCATATAGGGCTCTTTGTGTTTGTTTAATTCCCAGCTACTTGATAGTAACCGTTGAATAATCAATCATAACTGACCAGAGGCTTTCTGAAGCCCTCATTTAACACGGTCTCAATTATACTATACTGTGATATTGCTGCTATCCAAAAGAAATTAGAAAAAAAAATGTATATATTGATTGCTGACTCTGTAATCATGTTGTTCTTGAAAGAAAAGTTCAGGAAGAAGAGTTGCGGGAGAATCACCCCTATTTTGACAAGCCTCTTTTCATAGTGGGTCGGGAACACAGATTTAGGAATTTCTGCCGAGTTGTCGTGAGAGCTCGCTTTAATGCGTAAGTATATGTGTAGCTTATGATTTGATTCCCTTGTTTTGATTCACTATATTCTGTTATTAAAAAGCTTCTGCAAAATAACATCAATGTCATCAGAGACATTTTAACTTATCCAGCAATTATGTATTTTGCAAATGTTTCTTGGTTTTATTATTTATTTTATTCTTTCAACCATAAACAGAAACTGGGAGATCTGTGTGCACTGCTTTTGAAACATAAAGTGACAAAATAATTCTTTCAAAGTTTGCAAATGAATTCAGGGATATGAATGTCATGATTGCCCTTGATACCCATTTGAATATTGTGCAAGATTTCAAATGTGAGAGCTGATAGAGGAGAACATTACCTCAGTTTGTACTTTATAGTTCTCCCAAAAGTCAGCCAGCAGTATGCCTGGACTTCAAAGCCCTCCCTGAGAAATTCCTGAAGGAGGAAACTGCATGTGCTCGGCTAAAACAAAGATTATTTTGGGGATAGTCATGACAATTTAAACAGAAGTGGTGTGGTGCAAATCCAGAGTCATACATATTTTGGAACTGTGAGAGAGTACCTGCTGCCATCCAGTCCTCTCCAGGTGAACTGGAATATCAATTCCCAGAGATACAAAACAATATATTGGACAGCACCAGGTTGAGGAATTATTTAGGGACTTGGATTTGAATTACAAGTATAAAATACAATATAAATTGTCTTGATATTTCAGAAGATATATTAAGTCACAAATTCTGTTTCCATTAATGGATAGCCAAATAGCCAATGTAGCTGTTAATTAAAGAGATAAAAATTGTCCTTATATGGTCCCAGTGCCTAAAATTAAGTCTGTTTTAAAATTAAGTCTCAGTCTAAACTATAGCTATTAACATTAGATTTAAGAAACTAGTATGATATTTTAGCCAATTTCTGTGAATTGTGGAGTCATAAATGAAAATGCTCAATCCCCAAATGGCTATGAATTTGTAGTTTTGTTCTTGTTTATTTTTTAAAAAATACGCTTCATTTCAAATGCAGATTGTCTTGTATATTTGTAATACAGCTTTGTATAATAAAAATCAAATGATATTCTAAACATTTTTTCCCCTCTGTTACAGCTCTAAAACAGATCCTGTTACTGGAGCAGTTAAAAACACAAAATATCATCAACTTTAGTAAGCAAAAATGAATTTATGCATTTTATATATTGATGTACACTTTTTTCCAAACTTAAATTTCTCTGGAAAATGTTTTCTAGAATAATTATTTCTAAGATGTCAACATTTTGAAAGATTCTCTATTTTCTCTATCCAACTTATATTTGACTGATATTTATAATTTCTGAAGTCTCATTGCCCCTAAGTGTGTTCCATTTTATTTTGCAGTGATTTGCTGGGATTGGTTACTTATCTAGACTGGGTAATGATCATTGTCACCATCTGTTCCTGTATTTCAATGATGTTTGAATCCCCTTTTCGAAGAGTAATGCATGCACCTACTTTACAGGTAATTTTCTCAAAATAATTGGTTTGGATATAGTATTTTGGAAACTTTATTGCAGGGTGTCAAATTGGATTTCTTCAAGGGCTAGATCAGCATTGTAGTTCTCCTTCGTGGGCTAGCAGTGGGATGGCAGGGAGCGGGGGGGTGGAGAGATGAGATGGACTGCAGCACTTTACCAACCAAAATGGGGTGGGGGGGGCTGAACTCCCCCCTGTGCCTCATTTTCAGCCTCCATGGCCTCCTGCAGCACTCTGCCGTCCGAAAATGGGCCAAAAATGGGCCTCCCGAGGCCCCCATGCGGCTCCTTTTCAGCCAGCAAAGTATTGCTGGAGGCTGTGGAGGACGAAAACGAGGTGTGAGGGGGGCACGTGCATTTTCAGTCCATTTTTGGCGGCAGAGGCACCATGGGCTGGTCCTTTGATATTCCCAGGCTGGCCCCGCAGGCCGGATTTAAGCACCCTGACCACAGATCTTGAGTTTGACACTGCCTTACAGTTATTCTGTCAATGTTTTTTCTTTGTTTTTCAGATTGCTGAATATGTTTTTGTAATATTTATGAGTATTGAACTTAACTTGAAGATTATGGCTGATGGATTATTTTTTACACCAACGGCAGTCATCAGAGATTTTGGAGGTGTCATGGATATTTTTATATACCTTGTAAGTTTTTGTTCTTAAAGTTAATTCAAACCAATAAAAAGCAGGACCTATGATAAGAGTTAAAAATAATTTATATCCATATTGACATCAGTTTCATACAATTCCGAGTATCTTTAATTGAATATTTATAATATATAAACAATTAGACTTAACATATTTGCAAAAATATACTGTCTGGAGACTATGAATATTTAAAATAAACAAAGAAGTTCCATTGTTTTATTAATACGTTATTTTCATCATGGTGCTAAAGGTTTTATTTTACAGCTGACAAATCGTACTCAACATGTAGTCCTCAACAGAACTAAATCAACATGGAGGGAAGTAAGTGCAGGTAGTCCTCAATTTATGACCACAATTGAGCCCAAAATTTATGTTGCTAAGTGAGAAATTTGTTACGTGAGTTTTGCCCCATTTTACGACTTTTCTTGCCACATTTGTTAAGTGAATCCTACAGTTCTAAATTAGAAAAATGGTTGTTAAGTGAATCTGGTTTCCCTATTAACTGCTCGTCGGAAGGGCACAAAAGGTGCAGGAATTGGGTATATCTAGTCTAGTGAAAAGAAGGACAGTATTTGAGGAGCTGCCACAAAGATGAGGGGGAGAAACTATTTTCCAAAGCACTAGAAGGCAAGACAAAAAGCAATGGATGGAAAGTAATCAAGGAGAGAAGCAACCTAGAACTAAGGAGAAATTTCCTAATGGTGAGAACAATCAACCAGTGGAACGGCTTGCCTTCGGAGGTTATGGGTGCCCCATCACTGGGGACTTTCAAGAAGAGACTGGACAGTTACTTGTCTGAAATGACAGACTCTCCTGCTCAAGCAAGGGGTTGGACTAGATAGTCTCCAAGGTCCCTTCCAACTCTTGTTATTCTATTGTCTGGATCCAGGAGGATTCCCAGGCTACAACTCTGCTCCTGAAAAAAAAAAAAAGTTCCTGTTCTCCACCTAAAACAGACATATCTTCTGAGCCCTGAGCATCAATAAAAACTCCATTTTGTCTAAATGGAGTTTCAGCTTATTCTCCCACATTACAGTTTTGTGGTCTGGAGGCATTCCTAAGGCCCCGAAGACAACCTTGAATTCATTCGAAAGAAGAAACATGGCTGAGAAACATTCGCATATGAGTAACACATCATTGCATATTTCTAATATTGAAAACTATATAGAAGTTTGCAGATCCTTTAAGATAGTTCCAAGAAAGTCAAGCAGAGGTTTCCCAATATCCCAAAGCATTGAATCGCACCCAATGAGTAGATGAGTTGCCATTACAAAGAAGTATTTCCAACTGTCAACTCATTCAAGTGCTCCAGCAGCATACATAATCAAAAAGGTCACAAATTGCTATGAGTGAGTATATTCTAGGAAAATATACAGACTGGCAATCCTCCATCTTTCTCTCTCCAATGTAAATGACCCAGCAGGATTTCTAAGGTTGTTTTCCCTCTAAATTTAGATCTGAAACAGACCAAGACAATCCATTTGATCCAAGAGTTCAATTTTCTAATTTCTTTCATGCTTTAGAGTATTGTATTATATTTTGAATTGGCTTTGATTGGGTTTTTTTTCCAAATTGGGAGAACTATATAAATATTTTAAATAAAACAAAATATAATGCATGCATATATTATTAAATAAAACAGGTTGTGTTAAATTACTAGGCATACTCAAAGGGAAGTAACCTCTGAATTTAAGATGATCCCCCAGAAAAAGTAAAATAGAAGGAAATACAGCATACACAATAATTTTGTGTTTCTCTCCTTTAGAACCAGTAATGTTAATACTCATTTATTTAGCGTATGGCTGGTCACACACAGTATAAAACACTTCGTTTTTACAAGTTAAAAACAATAAAAACAATAAAAAAACAGTAAGAAAACCTACAAGGAAAACAGAAATAACATTTCAAAGTTTAATGTCGAGTTTGGAGATCCAGTCAGTAGCTGCTGTTGTTATGCAGAGGAAGTCCCTAGAATCTCCTGGATATCTTCTGTTAGGGCATTCCCTCACTATATGCTGGATAGTCTGTCGGGGGGCCCCGCAATCACATTGTGCTGAAGGTGTCTTTCCCCATTTATACAGGGAGTCAGCACACACCCCATGAGTTGTTCTAATTCTATTATATGTCACCCATATGTGTCGGGGTAGGCTAAATCCTGGAGGTATACTACTAGGACTGATATGCTCGGAGACATCTTGGGGGGAACAGCTATTCCACGCCTCCATCCACTTTTGTGTGGTGTTCTGATGATCAGCCATCAACTTACGCGCTGTCAAGATTGGTGGATTTCTTGACTTTACTCATACATTAATATATCATAATACTCATACATTAATATATCATACTTACATCAGAGGTGGGTTTCAGCAGGTTCTGACCAGTTCTGGAGAACCGGTAGCGGAAAATTTGAGTAGTTCGGAGAACCAGTAGTAAAAATTCTGACTGGCCCCTCCCCCATCTATTCTCTGCCTCCCAAGTCCCAGCTGATCAGGAGGCAATGGGGATTTTGAAGTAACCTTCCCCTGGATTGGGATGGAATGGAGATTTTACAGTATCCTTCCCCTGGAGTGGTGTGAGAATGGAGACTTTACAGTATCCTTCCCCTGCCACACCCACCAAGCCACGCCCACCAAGCCATACCACGCCCACCAAGCCACACCCACAGAACCGGTAGTAAAAAGTTTTGAAACCCACCACTGACTTACATACTGTATATTTGTACATATTTTAATCCGTATAGTATACCCTTTGCTAAGAATAGGTTTTATTCAAGTCTTAATGAAATAAATTGGGTCAGTTCCTATACAGGTAGTCCTCAATTTACAACAGTTCATTTAGTGACTGTTCAAAGTTACAACATCCCTGAAAAATGTGACTTATGACCGTTTTTCACAGTTACGACCTTTCCAGCATCCCCATGATCATGTGATCAAAATTTAGATGCTTAGCAACTAGTTCATATTTATGACCATTGCTGTGTCCCAAGGTCATGTGATCCACTTTTGTGACCTTCTGACAAGCAAAGTCAATGGGGAAACCAGATTCACTTAACATCTGAGTTACTAACCGATCAACTGCAGAGATTCACTTAACAACTGAGGCAAGAAAAGTCATAAAATGCGGCATAATTCACTTAACAAATGCCTCACTTAACAACAAAAATGTTGGGCTTAATTGTGGTCGTAAGTCAAGGACTATCTGTAGTGTATGTATGAAACACATTTTAAAACTCACATTATATTTCAGGTTATTTTCCCCCTTTCCAAAGGTAAGCCTGATATTTCTTTGCTGGATGCCTCAAAATGTTCCTGCTAAATCAGGAGCTCAGCTGCTAATGGTTCTACGGTGTCTTCGGCCCCTCCGGATTTTTAAACTGGTGCCTCAGATGAGAAAAGTTGTTCGGGAACTATTTAGTGGCTTCAAAGAAATCTTTCTAGTGAGTACTATGTATGGTTTCTCTTTCCAAATATATATATATATATATATATTAGAAGGGAAACCATCAAAACATATATTTCATAAGAACTCTCCAAATACATTTAACGAATTAAATCTCTTTGGTTCTTGTCTCTTGTAATTGCCTCTAAATCCATCCAGTTATAAGCTCTGATCACATCCATAGATTAGTAGAAATATACATCAGCTGGCTCTAGTGTTGAGCATATCATTTATTTAGCTATGTATTTAAAGCAGGCAGTTTGTTTCTTTAAGAATGCAGTATTACTACTGTGTAGGTATTACATTTTCTTAAAAAAAAATAATAGGTGATATTTTGTACTGGGAAAAACGCTGCATTTCTTTGAGAATGCATTGTTTTATCATGTTTACACAAAGAAATAAGAAATGCTGTGGTGCTATGCTCCATGTTCTCCCAAGTTCTGAATACTAAATTTTAGCAAGTGTTAAAAGTAAACTTTGCACTTTGCTATGCATAGGGGACATGGTTTCATATAAGCATATGGCTTGCTTTTAAAGAATTATAGTTCAATCTGATTCCTACGGCTGGCAGAATAGGACATTTTTGGTTGTGCACATGCTTCAAGAGAAGATCGTATGAATGCATGAAATATATAACAAGTAGTTTGTTATTTGAACAGGATGAGGAGTAAATTTGATTATAGTAAGCTTACTTCCTATGAAAAGAAGGATGAGAAAACATGTAAAGGAAACCACTTAGCTGCCATCCTCAAAACACTGTTATAGTAACCCATTCTCCTTCCTTGCAGTTCTGTAATAAAATCCATTGCATAGCGATTGTTGTTATAGAAAATGTAAGAGAAAAATACAGGTGTGCTGGAGAAGGTTTGATTCCTTTTCATGTTTTTCTTTTCCAGGTTTCAATCCTTTTATTGACGTTAATGCTTGTTTTTGCAAGCTTTGGAGTTCAACTTTTTGCTGGGAAACTGGCTAAGTGCAATGATCCTCATATAATTGCAAGAGTAAGAACAACTTTTATGTACTTAGATAAATTCCTCTTTCTTCTTTTGCACATTTTCATCAACCAATGAGGTTTAATTTATGGTGATATGTAGAAACACCAAAAAAAAAAAAAAGGCATAGAAGTGAAAGTATATGTTCTATAAAGTCAAGTCACTTCTCTCTGTTTCATTTGTTTAAAAATATTTCTGGACTCCCTTTTAGAGAAACCTCACACAATGGTTTATCTAAACATAAACATATATACATCAATGCAACTTTCAAATAATAATAAATTATCACAAAATGCAATAAATACAAGCAAGGATCAGCTATGTAACTGATGAGGTTTAGTATTTAACTTAGTGAGAACAGTAAAATCCAATAATTGTGCCTTTCCCAGCATGTAAGAATTCGAGCATTGAGAGGGAACAGTTTAGCTGAAAGAGTTCCAGAGTCCAGACTTATTCTTCCAACTCTCCAAGGAGATGACTGGGACTGTTGTTGCTCACAATACATATATGGTCTCAGTCAAAGAAAATATTGCTAAAAGTCTGGCAAAGAGTTTCTCACCATACGTTCTGTCTTCTTCATGCATAGATTAGCTTCTCTGCATTCCTGAACATAAATAGCATGTTTATGTTATTTTAACTAAATGAACTCTTGTCTGTATACAGTATGCTTTTGTGATATATTAAAATTTTGGTTTCTATACAAAACGTGATGTTATATTTCTGACAGGAAGATTGTCATGGTATATTTCGAATAAATGTAAGTGTTTCCAAAAATTTGAATTTGAAGCTAAGACCTGGTGAAAAAAAGCCTGGATTTTGGGTGCCTCGGGTCTGGTAAGTAATGTGTTTTTGGCCTTAAATATAGATTTATTGTTAGAGTTGATGAATAGAATTACTCCAATAGATTAATCCAATGGAATGATAATTTCCAATCCTAATTCTTTAAATTCAACAACCGCATTGGAATGTGCCTATCATCCAAAAGACAGTATATCTAGAGATTATTATTGTAGGGTAAATAACAAAAGAATAATAGATTAGTCACATTGCTTAATTCTCTTGAGTTGCCGTTTGTCAGTTTCTTCCCATCAAACACCCCCCTTCCCCTCCCCCCCCGAAAAAGGACTCTTTTTCAAAATTAAGTAGTACAGAAGATCAATGGCACAGAGGAAATTTCAGGAGAGGCTAAAACTGTGATGGCAAACCTACGGAACGTGTGCCCAAAGTGGCATACAAAGACATGTCGCCCGGCATGCGTGGCCTTACCTGTTTGTCTTATGGGTTTCTGGCGCACATGCGCACGTGACAATCAACTGTCCTTCGCGCCCATGGCAGTGCCAAAAACCGGTGGGTACACCGGCTAGCTGATTGTCAGGTGTGCATGCACACCCAGAACCCGGAAGTTTGGCTTTTATGGAGCGCGATTCCTTCGCGCGCGTGGCAGCGCTGAAAACTGGCCTGCACGTGCGCACCAGCCAGCTGATTGTCGGGCGCACATGCACCCTAGAACCTGGAAGTTCAACTTTTCTGGAGTGCGGTCCCAACAAGTGTGCACGCACACACGCATGACATTTCCACGCAACCTTTTCAGCACTCGGTGCCGAAAAGGTTCGCCATCACTGGGCTAGAACAAGAGAGTCACTTATGTCAGGGAGTAACAGGTTACTAACCTGGCAATGTTTTAGGATATATTGTCGGCAAACATCATTGTTTTTACTCCTCATTTCTGTGTTGTATTGCAGGGCTAATCCTCGAAACTTTAACTTTGACAATGTTGGTAATGCAATGCTGGCATTATTTGAAGTTCTGTCATTAAAGGGGTGGGTAGAAGTCAGAGATGTTATCATTCATCGTGTGGGTCCGGTATGTATATTCCTCAATTTGTCAGACTTGTCAGATTTTTCCCATGACTTCTTATTAATAAGACAATTGTAACATTGATACAAATTTTATGTTGCAGATTCATGGCATCTACATTCATGTTTTTGTATTCCTGGGCTGCATGATTGGACTCACCCTTTTTGTTGGAGTTGTCATTGCTAATTTCAATGAAAATAAGGTAACACTTCAGATTTTCTATTTTTCTGTAGTAGGTTTAGGTTTAGGTTTAGGTTTTATTTGATTTGTATACCGCCCTACTCCCGAAGGACTCAGGGCGGTGAACAGCCAACAATAAAATACATAAATACACAAAATTTAAAAACCCGATAAAATCAAATTAAACTTTTTGGCCCAGACAAATTAAAATACCCCAATAATTTAAAAACAGATTAAAATTTACATATTTTAAAAAGGGAAGAGATCAGGCCAAGCCCGCTTGATGGAATAAAAAGGTCTTCACAGCACGGCGGAAGGAACGCAGATCCGGGATCCTCCGTATCTCCGGGGGGAGCTCATTCCAGATGGTAGGTGCCCCCACAGAGAAGGCTCTCCCCCTAGGGGCCGCCAGTCGACACTGTTTGGCTGACGGCACCCGGAGGAGTCCCTCTCTATGAGAGCGTACTGGCCGGTGGGAGGCTATTGGTGGTAGTAGGCGGTCCCGTAAATATCATGTTTATATTGTGTTACTTTTATTTTCATGTGTAATGAAACAATATTGTTGAGCTAACATATACTGGTAGTTGTGTTTATATTAAACACCAGAAATTGTTTTAATTATGAAAATATTTTTGCATCACATGTAATATAGCGAATACCTAAGTATACATAAGTATTTCCAGGATTAATTTATAGTAATGGAGTTCAGTATAACATTTCTGAACCTTGCTGTAAGCATTTTTTTTCCTCTGGTTGTTTTTACCAGGAAGGCAACCTGGATTTGATTTAACAAATTTTCAGTAAGATTCTTAATTTTAAAAAATGGACAAAACACACACACACACACATACACACACACACACACACACACACTGGAATTAGAAAACAACCCCTAAAGCAGATGTAAAACAGAGCACTGTTCCTAGTGAAAGACTCCCTAATGATTATTCATTCCAATAATGAATACGATAAGAAAGAAGCAAATATGTTTTGGTGATAATTGTTCCTGTTCTTTTAGGGAACAGCTCTACTAACCGTTGACCAGAGGCGATGGGAAGATCTGAAGAGCAGATTAAAGATAGCACAGCCTCTTCACCTCCCACCACGCCCAGGTATCTAGATTTTTAAAATTCAGATTCAAGAGATAATGAAACCACTAAGCGATAATGCATACTGATCAAATGCTTGAGTCATTATGTGCCATCAACTTAAAGTTGAGTCTTAGCAACCATATAGATAGACCTCCGGGATTATCCATCTCCAAAATGATCCTTCACGTTTCCAGCAGCGCACTCATCACCATTATAACTGAGTCATTCATATTGTTGCTGGCCATCCTATTCTCTTTCCTTCCATCTTTCCCACCATTAATACACTTTTCAAGGGAATTGGGTCTTCACGTAACATGTCCAAATATTATAATTCGAGTTTTATCATTTGTGTCAGGAGTGAGATTAATTTGTTCTATGATCCATTTTTGTTGACATGATATCACTGTTCCAATATTTGAGGGGCTGCTACGAAGAAGAGGGTGGTCAACCTATTCTCCAAAGCACCTGAAGGCAGGACAAGAAGCAATGGATGAAAGCTATTGAAGGAGAGAAGCAACCTAGAACTAAGGAGAAATTTCCTAACTGTGAGAACAGTTAACCATTGGAACGGCTGGCCTCCAGAAGTTGTGGGTGCTCCATCACTGGAGGTTTTTAAGAAAGAAATTGGATAGCCATTTGTCTGAAATGGTATAGGATCTCCTGTTTTAGCAGGAGGTTGGACTGGAGGACTTCTGGGGTCCCTTCCAACTGTATTATTCTGTTCTGTTTCCCAAAGATGCTTTTTCAAAAGGCAACTGGACTTCGTTTTTCCTTGAACACATTTCACTTCTCATCCAAGAAGCTTCTTCAGAACTGATGAGAAGTGAAATGTCTTCAAGGAAATGTCCATTTGCCTTTTGAAAAAGCACCTTTGGGACAACCATGACCTGGGTTGTCATCTCCATAGACATTCTGTTCTATTTGTTTGTTATTCTTTCTATGATCATGTGTATGCATCTCATTAAGCCCAAAGGAAGTCTGGAATGGTATAGGATCTCCTGCCATGGGAAGGAGGTTGGACTAGAAGACCTCCAAGGTCCCTTCCATCCTATTATTCTATGTTCTATGTTCTGTGATATTCTCAGGAGTCTTCTCTAACTCCAGAGTTCAAAAACATCCATATTCTTTCTATCCTGCTTCTTCAGGTCCAGCTTTCGTTTCCATAGAATGTCATAGAGAAAATTATTGCTTGCATACTTCAGATCTTTAAAGCTATAGACATATCACAGTATCTGAATATCTTTTCCAAGGCCTTCATTACTATCCTACCAAGTGGTAGTCTGCAGAGTATTTCTGGACTGCTGGTTGTTTTACTGATAGTCAATCCTAAAAGGCAGAAATTATCTACTACCACTTCAGTATCTTCATTGTCAGTTTTAAGGTTGAGAATGGTATATGTTATCATTATCATTTTTCTTTTCACTGAAACCTACTTTCTCTTTTTTCATTGTGCTCCTTGACTTTCATAACTAGAACTTGCAGATTCTTTGCATTTTCAAGTATCATAGTAGTTTTATCAGTATAGCTCAAGTTATGGATGTGGTTTCCTTCAGTTTTAAAACTACACTCATCTTCTTCCATTCAAGCCTGCTTCAATATATATTCAGCATATAGATGGAATAAATAAGAGAGTATACAGCCTTGTCTCACTCCGTTGTCATCCTGAAGCTAATCTGTTTTGCCATTTTCTGCCTGGACTGTGACTTCCCATCATGTGTGTAAGTTGTTCATGATGACAAAGTTATTCTGAGATTCCTATTTTCCTAAGGATGTTCCACATCTTGGCATGGCCAACACAATCAAATGCTTTTTATGATCAATTAATTCTTTTTTGGGGTGTATTTTTTATTAATTACCCAGTATTCATCAGAAATAATGTCTCATGTTCCTCAACTTTTTCTGAAGCCAGCTTTGTAGGGCTCAAATCTGTCTACTTTGCTAACACGTGAAAGTTAGGCTATTATAGTGTGTTGACTAATATGTGCCCACAACTAACAGTTACACTGAGGGGGAAAAATTCTTAGAAGCCATTGCAAATTGTGCCCTAAATAAACGTTTGCTTTTATTTTGTTTTTGTTTTTTCAGATAATGATGGATTCCGAGCTAAAATGTATGACATAACCCAACACCCATTTTTCAAGAGAACCATTGCAGTTCTTGTACTGGCCCAATCTGTGCTATTATCTGTTAAGGTACTTTTAAGTAGCTTTATTAACTACTTACAAACCAGCATAAATAGGAGAAAATCACTGTTTATAATAAATAGGAACAATTGTGGAAGAATTTTAAACAGAAAAGAAAATGGGATTTTTTTTTCATCAACTATTTTTTCTCTTTTGCATAAGTGGGATGATCAAGATCCAGTAACTGGTCCATTAGCTGCAATGTCAGTGGTCTTCACCTTCATATTTGTTCTAGAGGTAATACATTTTGATCATGTTTCTATAAATAAGTTCGGATTAGATTTGTCTTGTGTCACTTATTATACATTACAATATTAGAAGATAATATAGATACTATTTATTAATTACATTTATAAGTCACTTGAGTCCATCATTACTCCAAGTGGCATATATAAATTTTAAAAAATACAGTGCAAAAAGTTTAAACAAGCAGAAATCTGGAAGCATAACACTGATTTGATTAATCCAGTTGTCTTCATAAGAATCAACCTTTACTCTAACCCATGGCCAGGGAAAAGCCAGGTTTTAGGGGCTGTCTTAAATAAGGTAAGAGTGAGGGTTATGCAGTATGAATTTCTGAGGGAATATCATTCTAGAGGATAGGCACTATAATAAGGAAGGCTCAATTCCTTGATCCCATCAAATGGCACTGTCCACTCTGCCAGATCACACTGGAGAGAAGACAAGCAGGCCCTCAGATAACAAACCCTACCTCATGAAAAGTTCTATAAGTGATAATTAGCATCCTGAATTATATCCGGAAACCTATTGATTAACCAGAGCCTACTAGTAATGTTCTTAGCAGACACATTATGTTATATGACCATACTGTGGCACTCCCATAACTGCCCATGCTTCTGATCCTACTAGGGCCAGCTACAGCTTCTAAATAGTCTTCAAGGGCAGTCCCGTGTAGAGTGCATTGCAGTAATCCAGATAAGTTACTGTAAGGCATTTTTGTGCAATTGATAACTTACCTAGAAGAATATATATGAAAGTGGTCCTATCCACAGTTGCCACCTGCTCCTCAAGCAAGAGTTGTGAATCCAAGTAGTCTTCAAACTGCACACCAATTCTCAAAGAAGCGCAACCCCATTCAGAACTAAAAATGGAGCATTTTTGGACTAGGTTGTCCAAATACCCATAGCATTCAGCTTGTCAAAGTTGAATTTAAGCTGTTTCTGATCACAGGGAAAGGAGAATCATCACCTTAACACCATATCTCCCACTCCTAATCCCTGTGAGTGGTACAAAAAGATGCCATTGACCTTTGAGAATCAAAACTCATTAACATCAAGGAGATGCACTACCCCCATCCCAGTTCCACCAGAGGTCACCTGCGAGCATCACCAATACCATCTCAATACCATGTCTTAATCTGAAACCTATCTGAAAGGTATAAAAGGCAAAGGTAAAGGTTCCCCTCGCACATATGTGCTAGTCATTCCTGACTCTAGGGGGTGGTGCTCATCTCCGTTTCAAAACTGAAGAGCCAGCGCTTCTCCGAAGACGTCTCCATGGTCATGTGGCCGGCATGACTAAATGCCAAAGGTGCACAGAACGCTGTTACCTTCCCACCAAAGGGGGTCCCTATTTTTCTACTTGAATTTTTTACGTGCTTTCAAACTGCTAGGTTGGCAGAAGATCTGAAAGGTATACAGGTTACCTATAATTTTCAGGATTGTCTGTCTGAAGCTATAATCATTCTGCTGTCACATGACACACAATCCAAGGAAAAAGGAGGTGCTTTTAGAAGCATATGAAGGCTAAGGTTTTGGATTTGAATGAAGGATTTTAGAAGTATTAGTCCCTTACTTATAAGGTTTATCTACAATACCTAAAAATGGGGATCTCATCACTGCTCCTGTATCAGCTTGGTCCATGTTAATGGGTGGTGACAAAAACACCATAGGGTTAAGTTAATTAAAGTCATAATGAACAGCAAGAGGAGAGGTTTTGTCAATTTCTTGTGTTCTTGTGAAATATTTGATTTATCCTTAGATTTGTTTTGTCCTTAGAAAGTGGTTGATCTTTTTCTGCACTAGCAATTGTAACCAAAGTTTAGTAAAATATATATCTTGTAACATTTTCTTGTTTGTTTTTGCTCATATATATTTTAATCTCAATAGTCAAATTAATTTTCAGTACTTATCCATTTGAATATTATTGAAACATAACTTGGAGGAATCATTCATGATTATACAAAGAGAAGCTATTACATATACATTTATTTTTGCAAGGTTACGATGAAAATTATTGCTATGTCACCTGCTGGATTTTGGCAGAGCAGAAGAAATCGTTATGATCTTTTGGTGACATCATTAGGGGTCATATGGGTGATTCTCCACTTTGCAATAACGGTAAGTTTATTGTCTATTCAAAGAATGCAGGATATTTTTCCTCTTTTTGCAAATCTGCAAAATGTACAATTAATTGAGGCTTGATCTTGCCTTGTTATGGTCATTCCTGAAAAGACTATTTTTTTGTAATTACAATTAATATTATAACTATTGTAATTACAATTAATATTATAACTGAGCTCATTCAGGCAGCCACAAATGATTTAAACTAGAATTAGTGGAATGTAGTTTTCAAAGAATTCTTCCAGAAAGTAAACACAGTTCACTAAATATTTGCATTGGGCTTAGTTGTTATTGTGGTAGCACATCTGTTTATAAACTGTAGCATGTCAGACATGGAATGGAATGTTACTTGACTAAATATTCGTTCATGCTAAAGTATTCCTGTCTATTAATAATGCTATAAAAAAGTTTGTTAGTCCTATGTATATTATATGTTAGCAATTGTAAGGAAAAAAATAAACTTGATGAAATGTATTCCTACAAAGGCTGCTTACATGATTTTAAAAGTAATGTTGAGAAATTCATAGAAGATAAATTATGACTTTAGAAATAGTGCCATTATATTTTCTATTGGTCAACTAGTGCTGAATGCTAGTTGCACTCAACTATCTAAGTATCTAGAGCTACTTAGTGGTATCAAAGACTCAGAAAAATTAGAAAAAGGGCAAAGAAGATCAAGGAGGATTATTAGCAGTCTGAAAATTATGTCTAATTTATGTTTCGATTATGTTAAAGCAAAGATAACTAAGAGGAATATACAATAGAACTATTCAAGTATCTGAAGAGTTATTCATCAGAAGAAGGCCAAGACATGTTTCCTATCATCCCATAGAATAATTGTCTTAAATTACAGGAAAACAAATCAGTCAATTTCTATGGAACCTATAAGTCAGAAGCAATATGCTTTTGGATATGGATACCAGAGAATGGGAACAAAGAATGGGAGAGAGCTATTATCTTAATTTCTCTGCTTTTTAGAATTAGTTGTCACCCTACTTCTCCACACTAGGCTGAATGTGATCAGTAATTGACACATTTGGTTTTATTAGCTTAATTGTAAATCAGGTAACAGAAAAAGCTAGAACTGCAGGCTGTAAATTAGGCAGAGGAAGACTTGCAGACTAAGTATATCTTACCTGAAGCACATAGCTGTGGCTTAGTCATGCCCAAGAACAACAGGTCTTGGTGCAGTCCAGTAGTCAGACCCATTACAGTCTACAATGCCCAGTCCAGAATTGTAAGCCGAAGATCAATTTTGGGAATGAGTCAGGAATGAGGGGCCACAAGTACAAGGTCTAGCAATTGAGAAGTGTTTCCAAAAAGGAGGATACTCTTAAATAATTGGAGTTTGAATCCTTATCTAATTAGAGGATTCAGTGTCCTTCACTCTTAAGAAGGAGTGTTGATTTCCGTATCTCTAACCTTCTTTGGTTAGTTTTCTCCTAAGTTCAGGAACTGACTTCTTGTACTCTGAATCAGGAGCCACCTGTGCTGATTTTGAGTCATTCTGAGTGAGTCATTATTCTCAGTTAGCTGACAGCTTATTATCTCCAGCCACAGGCTGAGGCTTTGCCAAGTTCTCTTCAGCCTCAGGGTCAGAAGTTTCCATGATTTTGACTGAAATAGTTCTCTTGGGATAAGGAATCTGTGGTTCAACAGATGATCTATTGAACTGTTAGTACATTCATTTTAGGAGTATATATATGAGGTCACATTTATGATATGAAGCTATTTCTTTCTAAAACTTCCGTGTAATAACACCTGAATAATGCAATGTTGAGGTCTTTTTACATCAAGAACTATGCACTCAATCATTCAATATATTATATTAAAGCTATATTGGTTGTCGCGACAGTAAATCCTAAGTAACTCTGAGTAATTAATAATCAGTAACTCTTCTAATGCCGATAACTTTGTGTTTCAGAATGCCTATACATATATGATGGGAGCATGTGTAATTGTGTTCAGGTTTTTTTCAATCTGCGGAAAGCACGTAAGTATACAGGAGGGTTTTTACCCCATGCTTACAGTAATTACACATTTATTTTGCTGAATTTAGGCTTTTATTAGTTTAAACCATTACTCTATTATATAACCTAGAAGTAAAGAATAATGGAAAAGGAACAGCTGAATCAGAATTAGAAATATGCAAAATTGTTTAGTTTTCATGTGGCTAACTTCATACAGATGGAAGCTTACAACAAAAAAACATCCATAGCATGAATGAGTATATAAATGTTTGCACACAATAGTAAGAGCTTAAAAAATATACATCAACACAAGACTTTTAAACATCTTCAGCAATAAATTAACAAAACCTTTACCAATGACGTTCTGACACAAATAAATTCTAATCCACTTCACTAGATCCACCTCGGAGTAATTATTTTGTTGAATTTAAAATGTTTTCAGTTTAAAATGAACAGTTCCAAATTCACAAAACAACATTCTGAATCTGTGTCAATTTTGCTGGCTTGAAACAGTGTTGGATTCGCTGCAGAGGTTCTAGCAAAGTTAGAGCATTCTTGGAACAATCCCAATGAGGTTGGAACACAGTCCACTTCAACTTCAGCACATTTCCCTTTTGACCCATGTCTTATACCAAGCCTATTTTTCCCACTGATTTCCAGGTGACTCTGAAGATGCTGCTGCTGACAGTAGTTGTCAGCATGTACAAAAGTTTTTTCATCATTGTAGGAATGTTCCTACTATTGCTTTGCTATGCTTTTGCTGGAGTAGTTTTGTTTGGAACTGTGAAATATGGAGAGAACATTAACAGGTATGATTTCTGTCACTTCATCTGAAAATATTTGATACTGTGATCTTGTTTTAGAGCATCCTTGCTTTGATGGATGCCTCTATTGTTACATTACTAGAGAGGCAGCCCTATTGATCTGTGACTCAGAAAATCCAGCATCAAATATCAAAGGAATGCTTATATAGCATTTCAGGTATACATGAATCAGCTCAGCAATGATTGCTTGAGTATTTGCAGAACCTGCAAGCCAGGGGAACAACAGGGGGTTTCATTTGGCTTCTTATTATGAATAATAGCTAGTCCAGGTTCAAGCTTAAGATCCAAAACAGCCCCACAAAGAGACATATTCAAGCAATTTTCAGGGCAGTGCTGGTTACGCTGTCAGGTGACAGAAAGGTGTATGTAACACAGCTAGTTCTGAACAATCTAAGCTATCCTGCTGCTCAAAATAATGTCGTAAACACTACCTTACTTCCAACTAGGGAGTCTCATTCAGATACCAGACCAGTTCTTTTCTGTGCAGATTGGGGAAAATATACTATTTTACCATTCATCTCAGGTAGCAGACTAGACTTGTATAAGCTAGCCTGGGTATGGAGGGGGGGGGAATTACCCAAATACCCTAAAGGATTGTTTGCACATGTTTTTAGTTATGAAATATTGAATAATAATTTTTATTTGTTAAAAACAGACATGCCAACTTTTCATCAGCTGGCAAGGCCATTACGGTACTCTTCAGAATAGTCACAGGAGAAGACTGGAACAAGATAATGCACGATTGCATGGTAAATTGACTGATTAAAATCATGTATCTTTTTAGCCAGCAGAAGCTTTGCATCTTAAAAATACCTTACATTTTATTTTTAAAATGTTATCTTTCACCCAAATTTTGATTTATTGACTTTTGAAAATACTGTAAAAAAATGCATAACTACTTGACAAATTTTATTAGCAAATTTTGTGCTATATGCCCAACAAGGTTCATGCAGCTTTATTGCATTTATTAAAATGAAAAGTGACAGGTTTTCTGTTCCAGAGAATATATTAACAATTCTGTTCGGTGGAATGTATTAACAATGATAAAAAATTGTTCCTTTTTTGCCAAATCTTTGAAGCAGTTAGTGAGAAATACTGTGAAATAATTCTCCCTTCTCGTCCCCCAAATTATCATATTGCCATGATGTGGTAATGGACTCTAAGTTAGGAGGCATTTTCAGTGGGTGTTGTATAAAAAGAATAATATGTTATATTCTGCATCAAAAGAATATATCTGTTTAGGAAGAATATATCTATTTATGAAGGTTAGCTGAATAGAACTAAAAATATAAATGGAAATATGCAGTCCAAACAATTCAAGTTGGCAGTTCTGTAGGAATATTTGGTCATTATTGGAAATAACATTTTGATTGATATGATCCATCTTCCTCTCTTGTCAATTCAGAATAATATTTGTCTTTGGTCATAGGGGGAAATGGTGTAGTCCTTTAGCAAAAGAAAGGAGAGGATGTGTTGTACAAGCTGTACAATGATTGACTTGCTATATTTCATGGTGACTCTCTCACACACACACACACACACACACACACACACACACACACACAATATTTTTGATTCAGATGTTGAGAGAATGCTTGGTTGGAAGAAAAACATGTGGAATGGACAGCATCAGGGAAGGGAGGAAGTTGATCCATTCTGCTGTTAAACATGAAGTTCATAATATGTCTGTGTGAGAGAGGGAAGGAGGGGCCTATCTACTTTTGTACCCTTGTTACATGTAATGTAGCTTTTTATTTCATGCAGGTTCAACCTCCTTTTTGTACTCCAGATAACAGAACATACTGGAAAACAGATTGTGGGAATTATGCCGGTGCTCTTATGTATTTCTGTTCATTTTATGTCATCATTGCATACATAATGCTGAATTTGCTCGTGGGTAAGTTTTAGTCATGAAACGCAGCAATAACGTTTTCACTCTGTGTTTTAACTATATTGTGGATTTGATCAAAACCAAATCATACTTTAAAATAGCCATTAACATCAGTGTTTCAATCAGTCAGAATTAACAAATACTGCTGATTTAACTGGTTCTTCTCTATGTATGATCACATGCATTAATTTTATATATTTATATATTTTTATATATTTATAATTCACTGTTCAATCCTGACAACCCTCATAATAATTAGTGAAAAAATGAAATAATAATTAAATAACCTGATTATAAACCATAACATAAAAACTATTACTTGTGGCTTAATAAATGCAATCAATTATGCCATCCAAAATAAAATCAGTAAATATCCCATAAGGCTTGCTAGAGTTTCAAAAGTCTTCAAAACATAAATGAGTTCTACATCTGAGATTTTGTGTCTGTTCTGATGAATCTCAAGAAACATAATGAAAGATGCTATCACAGAACCGCTTACTTCACCTAAGAAGCAAGTGGAACAGAGTCTCACTTCTGGCTTTTACCATACTCTACGTTACCTAAAATGCTCAGACCAATGTTTAAAGCAGCATGAACAACTTCAGACTATATATGGTCTTTGAGTTTTTCATGCTGCCATCCGTCTAATCTCAAATATTCTATGTAGAAGTTTGGTTCAGATTTCTCAAAAAAATCCTATTTATGAATTAAATGTGGATCAGAAAGACAGAAAGGCAATTACCAGAGAGAAATTAAGTGTTCTCACCAATTTTTAGCTCTGTTTTTACTGCTTTCTTTAGTCCCATTCATATTCCATGGTGATCAGATTAATTTTGAGAAAATACAACCCAGCAGACGAAAAACAATTTTTCGATGTTTGCTTTAATAAATGTCAGATTTTTCAAAATATTGTAGGATTTATTTATTTATTTTTGCTGCCTTTGTTATGCTCAAGGTTTATGTAAACATCTTATATGTACAGTTAAAAAAAAAAAAGTGCATTATGGTTCCCGACTACTTTGTAACTTATTCAGCTTCTAATGAAAACAGCAGAAAATTGTTTTTTTGTTGTTTTTTCTTTTAAAAGTGGGGGGTCTATTATGATATTAAAATGATACATTTGTACATCAGATGTGCAAAAACTTGAAGAATCAAGTTTGTGTATTGCCTGCTTGTGTATTGTGTACTGGTACTAGATAAGAGTGGATGGAATTAAGAGGGAATGGACATGTTATTTGTGGGAACATAATGACTTCAGCCTGATTCCTTTCTTGATTCTGGTCCTAGGCTTTGCCTCTCTCTTCCTCTACATAGCAAAATTCTTTTATTATTTTACAAATCTAAGTTATTTACAATTATAAAGACTTATGAACTTGGGAAGCTCTTACTTTCTTATGTTTCTGTCTTATACAGCTATAATTGTGGAAAACTTCTCTTTATTTTATTCTACTGAAGAAGATCAGCTCTTAAGTTATAATGATCTTAGGCATTTTCAGATTATATGGAATATGGTTGATGACAAAAGGGAGGTAAGACATTTCTCTGGAATACTGTAAGTTTCATTGGCTTATTGTTCTGTGAATCAACTGCTAAAATGTAGCAATTTATTAGAGTAAAATTGGAATGTTAAATCCTTGGGAGAAATCGATGTCAACTTTTGTTGCTTCCCCATCCAGTTCTGTTATTCATGCCAGGTTAGCCCACCCATCAGGGGTGAAATTCAAAATTTTCCCCTACCGGTTCTGTGAGTGTGGCTTGGTGGGCATGGCAGGGGAAGGGTATTGCAAAATCTCCATTCCCACCCCACTCTGGGGCCAGCCAGAGGTGGTATTTGCCGGTTCTCCGAACTACTCAAAATTTCTGCTACCGGTTCTCTAGAATCTGTTAGAACCTGCTGCATTTCACCCTTGCCACCCATCCAGAATCAGGTCCATAATATGAAATACAACACAATATGATACATCAAGGCAGTCTTCCTTGAGAACAATCCATCCCACTCCTGCTGCCTATCACCAACATGCTGTTATTGCCTACCCCTTCCCTCTCCCCCACAACAGTCCTATTTTCCCTGGCCCATCACTATCCCAGCTTAGAGAGCTCCATCTGACAGCCAGGTCACAATATAAATTTTTAACCAGTTGCCTGAACTGCCTCTTTCAGGTCACTTCTGCAATAGCATATCACACTGCTTAATTTTAGACAGCCAGATGCCACTACTCTACCTCAGCATGTACACAAAGACCATAACCCCTGCACTAACATAAACAGCACCCTAACTCCCATCTACAGACTGAGCCACTCTGAATGTCACTCCTGCCCCTTCTATCTCTCATCCAGGAAACCAGACACCTTTTACCTTAGGGAGAGAATTGCCCAAGTGATAGGCCCTATGACAGCTGCAGAATTCAGCTTGGCATCTACTTCAACATCTGACTTGCTCCTGCTGCAACTCTGCTCAGCCACCCTGTTGCCCAGAAACTCAAAAACACCTCATATTGCTATTACAATAGCAAAAAGACTGGCAAAAATGTTACTAAATCGTTTATTTGGAAAATAATAAAAGACAAATATAAAGCTCTTTACTGGTATGAGTATTTTCTAATTGTGACTTTCTTCCCAGGGAGTAATTCCTACTTTCCGAGTCAAGTTTTTGTTGAGGCTATTGCGTGGAAGACTGGAGGTAGATCTGGATAAGGACAAACTTCTCTTCAAGCATATGTGCTATGAAATGGAGAGGTTGCATAATGGTGGAGATGTAACATTCCATGATGTACTGAGGTATATTGAGCAGCACAGTTGGCCTGCAAACCTGAATCTCAGAATTAACTCACAAGCTTCAGGTCAGGAAAGCTTAACCAAGGACATAGGGCTATATCTGTTAGGGTTTTATTGCATCTAAACAGACTAAAGATATAAGTACAGTTTATAAAAATTACATTTTTTTCATTTAGGGAATCTGTTAAAAAAAAAATTTATTTGTTTATTTATATGCCGCCCTTCTCCGGAGACTCAGGGCGGCTTACAATGCGTTAAGCAATAGCCTTCATACTTTTGTATATTTTATACAAAGTCAGCTTATTGCCCCCACAATCTGGGTCCTCATTTTACCTACCTTAGAAAGGATGGAAGGCTGAGTCAACCTTGAGCCTGGTGAGATTTGAACTTGCAGTAATTGCAGGCAGCTGATGTTAATAACAGTGATTTAGTCTGCTTTAGTCTGCTGCGCTACCAGGGCTCTAAATAACTAAAACTAAATTTGTTTAGTTATTAATAAAACACATATCTAAATTGTTTTTTCTTATTACTCTGTTTTTTTTTTACTATGCTGTAAAAAGTGCAACTTTCATATTATCAATAGAGGTAAGAATGAAAACTTCAACAGAAGTAAAGTTTTTGTCAGTGCACTCATCGTTAAAGTTAAACAGTTGACATAAGTGCATCTTCACCAACCAAACTTTAGCTGCTCTGATCACCTATTTCCTTGTAATGTATAATTACTTCACCCTTTCACTATGCAATTATCAGTGGACACAGAGACATTAAGCATTGTTTTCCAAGCCAAATAAACATTCTAAAAAAACTACAGTGTATAGTTTTGACACAGAGTCATTTTCCTTTTTAAAAAATGAATATTTATTAATATACATTTCTTCTAGCATGCTCTCATATAGATCGGTTGACATCAGAAAAAGTCTTCAGCTGGAAGAACTCCTTGCGAGGGAACAACTGGAATACACCATAGAGGAAGAGGTTGCCAAGCAGACGATACGCATGTGGTTGAAAAAATGCTTGAAGCGCATTAGAGCAGTAAGTTTAACATTATTGTGTCATTAATATGCTTTTAAATGCTATTTTAAAAGTCTAACAGAAATAACATGGGTTGACTGTTTTTCATAGCTTGGGGTTTAACTTTTTGGTTTTCATTCCACAGAGTTGTCATTCATTTCAGAAAACCAGCATTATTATTTTTTTTATTTGGAATTCGGTCAGAGTCCTTTTGTAGGTTTTCATCCAAAGTTTCCTGCCCCAACTTATTTTGGAAAATCAATATCGTCTCATCAAGCTTTCTAAAAAGAAATTCAGCTAGGAGCTGCACGTCCCCCCCACCCTCCATATTTATGTTTTAACCACTGTTCAGCCATTTTAATCCATGAAGCTTAATCAGGGAATAAAGAATGAAGAAGAGATGTTTTCCTCTATATTTCAATCCAGGGTTATAAGAAAAATTCAATAGATATAAACTCCAAATATTTTGCTGATTCAAAAAGCACAGAACTCCAATGGTAAGAGACTAAAAATACTCTACCACCATCCCAACACCAGCCATGCTTCCATATGGAAAAGGAACAGATTATTGAGAACAACATATATCCTCCCCCCCCAAAAAACACCACACACAAAAAAAAAACAATTCAACAAGAGGTTGAAATAAATCAACATTCAGCCATTAGTTGACTTTTAAAGCCAGAAGCAAAATGAAACAGTAAATTCAAAAGTGAAAATTAAAACTCAGGCCTCCATAAGATAATGAAATTGCTAACAGGAAGATTTATATGGCCAGTGACTGCAATCTCTTCCAAAGAGAATGGGAATCTTCAAAACCCTCTTTTCCAATTAGGTCCACGATCATCCAAAAGTCATCTTGGTCATTCCTGAGTGCTCCCATTCAAAATCAGGGAACAGCACAGCCAAAAAACTACTTTGGCAGTGAAATCAGCAGATCATCGGTAAGGGAAAAAAGTCCTTATCATGCAGTGCCATCTTGAGAGGAAGTCCCTTGGAACTGGCAGTTACAATACTGCAAAAATTAAGAATCTTTGGGATACATAAATTAAATATAATAATGAAAAACACAATAAGTTTATTTTTGTCTTTTCTTGCCCAACCCTAAACCCAATGAAATCATCAGTTCTATTCATGAAAGAGGCACACAAATTCATTTATTATTTTAAGGGTTGCAATATCACATCTTTGAACATACCTGTAATACAGATTATGAACATTAAATTCCATTATGCAGTGTAACCAGCGAGTCAAAAATTCCCAAGTTTTTATTTTGAGCTTGGAGATGGGAAAGTCAGGAGAATATATTGTAGCATCATACAAAATAAAACAACTGTTTCCCATGACTCCAGAAGTTAGGGCTTGAACAAGTGAGTGGAAATGGCTGATGTACATTTCAAATAAATATGAGATATTTATTAATCTTATTATTACTCCAGCAGCTGCGTTTTGCAGGAAACTTGCCTTAATAACCAATAAGATTCTATGGAATCTTCAGTGCAAACCATATGAAAACATGATATGAGCCTTGCCAGCTTTTCTTGCCAATTTCTTCCCTCAGCTTTGCCTGGACAATTGAAATAATTTAGAAAAATAACAAAAAAAAACAGAGGATGACAATGTTGATGATGATTATAGAGCACTTTGCACACAGGAATTTATTTTGCTCCTATAAACCTCTGGATTCCTAGAATGTAAGAAAAAAAATATACTTTTACATTGCCTTCAGGAGTTGTGAATCTCCCGTGGCTAGAGGCTTTTAAGAAGGGACTGGAAAGCCATTTGTCTGAAATAGTATAGGGTCTCATGCTTGAGCAGGGGATTGGACTAGAAGACCTCTAAGGTCCCTTTCAACTCTGTTACTCTATGTTCTATTGGAAGTAATATTTCCAATCTCTTTCTCTATGAGAAGAGCAAGCAAGCACAAAAGGAGATGTCTGTAGGCAATGTCTCCTGTGTTTGATCCATTTCCACTCCTCACAGATCATTTTGTAAGAGTTCCCATTGCTATTTTGTTAATCCATTGTCTAATTTAAAAATTATTGAAGCTAATATACTTCAATAGCCTCTAGATCAGTGATAGCTAACCTTTTTGCCGTCGCATGCCAAAAGCAGGGGGAGCGTGGGGGGGGTTGCGTGGGCATGTGCCCACACCCATAATTCAATGCCCCCCCCCACGCATGTGCGTGTCCTCCCTCCGCTTTTGGAACATGAAGGGCCGGTGGGCCCGGTAGGCCCGTTCTTTGCCCTCCCCAGGCTCCAGAGGCTTTCTTGGAGCCTGGGGAGGGTGAAAACGGCCTTTCCCATCCCTCTGGAGGCCCTCTGGAGGCCGGAAACAGCATGTTTCCCAACTTCCGGTGGGCCTGGAAGGCCTGAAAATCAGATGGCCGGTGCACGCATGCGTGCTGGAGCTCAGGTAGGGCAACGCTTGCGTGCCCACATATATGGCTCCGCATGCCACCTGTGGCACACGTGCCACAGGTTCGCCATCATGGTTCTAGATGATGTTTGGAAAACATTTTTTTTATTATTTTAATTTAAATAACTTTTTTGGATAGTCTCTTGAAAACAGAAATAAAGTTAAAGTATACGTATCTTATAGAAAAACTTCATTTTAAAGAGAATCCTAATTTTTGAAAAGTACTTTGGTTGATTTTATACCATCAACTCAGGTTCAGTCCCTAGCGATTGTGTGAAGAAAATGCTTATCATCTCAGTCTGTCACCAGTGATAAGCCATAGCTCCCATTCATCTACCATCACCATTAATTACCCTTCTATATTTCTTTTTGGAAAGAAATTTTAAAGAAAACAAAATATATCATGTGTGTCGTATTTTCCTAGAAACAACAGCAATCATGCAGTATCATCCACAGCCTCCGAGAGAGTCAACAGCAGGAATTAAGCCGTTTCCTAAATCCACCAAGCATTGAGACAACACAGCCAAGTGAAGATATGAATGCTAATAACCAGGATAACAATGCACAGCCTGAGGTATGGGTTCATCCCTATTGTTGTTCTCAAAATTCTCAGCCAGTGGCCTAGAAAGAGAGCCAATTTGGTGTATGATTAAGGCATCAGTCTAGAAACTGAGAGGCCATGAATTCTAGTCCCACATGAAGCCCACTGGATGATTTCTCTCTCAAACCTCACTCTCACAAAGTAAAACACTTCCGAAATATTGCCAAGAAAACTGCAGGGACTTGTCCAGAAACTTGGAGTCAACATTGACTTTGAAGCCACCACCCAAAAACGGCCTAGAAGCATTAGGAAAAAGCATGAGTCTGTGCAATAGAACACAACATATGAGAAAACATTCAACTGCATCTGACCACGACCTATTTGATAGATACACACCAGATCTAAAGCACTTTGGTAAAAGAGCAGACCTTTCCATTCATTCCTGCCCCAAAAATATGTGTAAAGGACACATACTGTTTGCAGGCCATGGAAACTTGCTTTTCTTTCTTTCTTTTTCTTTTTCTTTCTTTTACTTCTCCATTCTTCTGTGCTTAATATAATTTTTATGTTCAATTTTATGAGGCCTAAAAAAACATAATTTCTGTGATTCATTATGCCTAAGGGAATATTATAACCCTCAGATATAAACAACCCTTATTCTGTGGAATACATTTTCCTAAAATGTTTCTAGCAATAAATGTTGCAATAAATAATAGTATCGATAAGTTGTACCTAGGGATGTAAAAGAAATTTGATACACATATTAATGGGAACGAAATGGCTTGATCTACCACAACAGATTCTATTAGTATCCAAATGAGACAGCAACATTTAGAGTCAAAATATGGATGTTTATATTGCATGGAATCTGTCAAAATGGATTGGGAAAATTACATATGAAAAAACATGTATAGAAAACATTAACACACACACACACACACACATTTGAGAAATCTGCATTCAAATTTGCCAATAATAATAAATGTTTTTTTAAAAAAAACTAACAAAAAGCATGGGGGCTGAACAGAAAGATCTATACAAAATTTCAACTACATAATTTGTGAAATAAGCGCCAGAAATCAAAGTTCCTTTTTGTTTTTTTCAGGTTTTAATTCCTTTTCTCTCTCATTTCTATTCAGACAAGTAGTGAACAGCAGCTGCTTAGCCCCACCCTTTCTGACAGAGGTGGATATCGACAAGATTCTGGTGATTCTGGTAGACCTCAGCGAAAGTTTGGACAATGGCGTTTGCCATCTGGTAAGTGAAGAAAGGTATAAAGCACATTCCCAAACTGATACAGTTTCAGAATATAGATATAGCAGTTTTCCATGTGAAAGAGAGTACAAAATAAATATATTAAAGAGAGTACAAAATTAAATTTGGAGATCTATCGGATACAGCTCTGAAAATCATCAAAAGAATGTTTAGTTATATTTAGAAAAGTTACATGACTACCTATTTTATGCATGATAATCCTAGGCATTTTATGGCAACATGTGTCAAATATATTCTCAAGAGAAAAGGAAAGGAAATGAAAGGAAATGAAATTTCTGATTCATATTCTAGCCTAACATGAGCCAATTTTAAACTTTCTATGCCTCAAAAGAAACTATGTGCTTAAAAAAGCACATAGAGAGCACAAAAGCACAAAAAGCCCACAGAGAGGGGCTCCTCAGGGTGCCGTCGGCCAAACAATGTCGACTGGCGACATCCAGGGGGAGAGCCTTCTCTGTGGGGGCACCAGCACTCTGGAATGAGCTGCCCCTAGATGTACGTATGATCCCCTACCTGCGCACCTTTCGCCGCGCCCTGAAGAACCTTTTATTTCAACAAGCCGGGCTGGCCTAACATGAATATGAATTTTAAATTGGTGTATGTTAGTTTTAACTTGCGGGCCAAATTTTTGTATATCCGATTTTAATGGTTTTTTAAATTTTGTAAATTATATGTGTTTTAATATGGCTGTACACCACCCTGAGTCCTTCGGGAGAAGGGCGGTATAGAAATCTAATAAAAGTAAAGTAAAGTAAAGTAAAATGAATTCTGAATCACTTGGGGCACATTTCCATCTACTTGGTACACCAAACTATTCTAATATTAGTCTACTTTATGCAGACAGAAAAAGTATCTCACCATAACCTCTCCTCTCAGATCATCAGTAATGAATCAATACCTTATTCTTACAGCCATAGTTTGAAATCTACCTATCCATAAGAAATGGACCCCTAAATTCATTGTCAGGCCTATCCTGACTCGGTCCCTTAGCAAAGAAAGACCCCTGACTCCATATGTAGTGAAAGATATACTTTTACTAAAAGCCAAATGGATTATAGTAAAGCAGCTGTAAAAAGTTTTCACACAAAGGTTCCCTAGTTAACATTCCCTTTCCCATTCCTCCCCCTTATTATCTCCCTATTGTCCAGTCCCATTCAAAGGAATTGTTTTGGTAATGTTCCCTGCATCGGCAGGCTAGGTGGTGAGACGATGAGCAGATGTCTCGGGAAGGCATGACAGGTAGTTTCGATTTCCCCAGCAGCTTCCTCCTCTCATAGTCTATGGCAGACTGACATTTAGCAAAGCAAAGCTCAGGATGGCAATTCTGACATTCTACCTTTTCTACCTTGAAAAAGGGCTAAACCTAGGGAAAGAAAAGAAATGAAAGATTAGGATTTTAGTGGGGTTTATCAGGGTATCAGTTATGAAATTTACGGAGCAGGTGTGGGGACCGCACATGTTTGGTGTCAACCCACCCAGTTTCAGAAGGTGGGAAATCTTTCCAGAGGATTAATTACTGAAATTTGTATCTGTGTGTCTGTGAGTTAAGGATCTCCTTGACATCAAATTGTTCTCCTTCAATAAGTATAGGGGGTGGGGGCAGCTTTGTTGTGGGACACAAGGGCAATGTGTTTGCAGGTTTTAAAAGGCTACTGTGGAAAACAGGATGGATGTGTTGAAAGTTTTTTGATAGCTTTACTTCCATGGTCGCTGGGTTGATGATTCTAATGATGGGGAAAGGTCCAGCGTATTTTGGTCTCAGTTTCTTCAAGGGTTGTCTGGATTGCAGGAATTTTGTAGAAATACTTCGTCTCTAACTTTAAATTCCTTTTGCTGTGATCTCTTTTTGTGAGTGTACTTTTTCTGGGTGTCTTTCAGATGTTTGAGTGCCCAGTGTATGACTGGCCATGTGAGTTGCAGGGATTTTACCCATTCAGCTAGCGACATGCTTTGGGGAGATTGTTAGGGAAGCTCCGGCACAACGACAAAGTCCTTGCCGGTGGCCACACAGAATTGCATGAAACCGGTATTGCTGTTCATAGAATTGTTATAAGCGACCTCTGCAAAGGGGAGAAAGTCTGACCAATTGTCCTGGTGGTAATTGACTTAACAATGAAGGTATTGCGCCAGCACACCATTCATGTGTTCACAGGCTCCATTGCTTTGGGGATGATAAGAGAAATTGAGTCCTTGGGAGGTCCCCAAGAGGTTTAAATATTCTTGCCAAAATAGAAAAGTGAATTGTACACACCCCGTCTAAAATTCTGGTCAGAGCTCCATGGAACTGGTAGATATATTGCACAAAGAGTTTTGCTAGGGTCTATGCTGAAGGGATTTTGAGACAAGCCATGAAGTGATCCTGTTTGGAGAAGTGGTCAGTATATTACTATGTCACAACATATTACTATGTTCCTGTAGCTATCAAGTAGTTCCACAATAAAGTCCATAGAAATCTCCTTCCAAGGAGACATAGGGTTAGCTACGGGTTGCAGTAAACCTGGTGGCTTTCTGGGGTGACCCTTCATGGATGAACATACAGGGCAACTGGTGACGTAGCTTTTCTCCAAATAAAGCAGTGTAAAATAGGATGGTCTGAGAGAAAGTAGGTGGCCCAGATTTATCGAAATAGTACTTGAATTCGACCTTCCCAATCCCAGTTCAATACTCTAATTTCATGCTTGGCCACCAGAATTGGTGCCTCACCAGGTGTAAGGTTTTGACAAATCCAAAGTGTCCAGCCAGTTTGGAATCATAGCTATGCTACAGCACTAAAGTCCTCTGGCTTTCAGGTACATCGAATTTAGACCCAATCCAGGCAAGGCCATCATGTAGAGTGAAATCGGCTTTGTGACATGCAAACCAATCAACCATGGTCAGGGCTGCTCTTAGCGGTTGAACAAGATTGTTGGTTACCTTGCACTCAGTTTTGCTTTGTTGCCCTGGTGATGACAGGAGCTGCTATTTCACTAGAAGGGAGGATGGCTCTCCTCTCTGATGCTGTTTTACTGGGGTAGTCTTGAGAGCGCATGTGCCAGGAAATTTTTCCTCCGGCAAAGTAACGCAGGGTGAAATTGAACTGACTGAAGTATTGCACCCACCTCACTTCTTTAGGAGACAGTTTTTAAGGAGTCTTCAGTGCTTCCAGATTCTTGTGATCTGTCCAGATCTCTAAAGGAGCCTTACTCCCCTGCAAGAAGTGTCTCCAGGTGAGTAACGCCCATCGCATCACACAGGCTTCCTTTTCCCATATTGCCCACCTGCACTTCTGTGTTAGAGAGTTTCTTGGAGGTATAGCCACATGATTGTAGGAGTCCTTGTTGGTTCTTCGGAGGAGGATGGTACAACAGTGACATCACTGGCGTTTGCTTGGATAATGAACGATTCGTCAGGATTGAGGTGTTTAAGGATGGGCTCAGCCACAAACAGTTGCTTCAGTTTATTGAATGCTGCCTGGCATTCCATGGATCATTTGAGTGGTTGACCCAGTCTAGATTTTCTCTCTCTTTTGGTTTTGAGTAGATTAGTGATTGACAGCACGATTTGCACAAACACCAGAATGATCTGCCGGTAGAAGTTAACGAACCCCAGGAAGCTTTTCAGCTGCTTCTGGGTGTAGGGGACTCCCCATTCAAGCATATCTCATACCTTCTCTGTGCCCATCTCTACCCCTTTATGGGAGATGTGGTATGCCAAGTAATCTAGCAAAGTAAAGCTGCAGCTCAGAATGGCAGTTCTTACATTATAGCATTTGTGTTGAATCTATAATTTTAATTCAGTTAGGCCTTTGGTGACACCAGAAGGAATGAGGAAAATCCTAGCTCTAAGTGCCTGGATAGAAATCTATTGTTCAATAAATACTGTATGTTTTAAATACAGAATATGGGGAATGTTCTGTTGAACTGGGATTATGGCAGAATAATGTCTGCCACTCAAACTGTTCAACAGTCAAATAATGGCTACAATGAATAATTATTATTCCTACACAGAGTAACATGGCAATAGGTGAAAACAGCTATAAGATCTTGGGGCTATCAAAAAACTAAGCTTTATAGATTCAGAGAGTTAATATCATAAAAGTCTCACCTTGAAGATCCACGGGTACAATGAGATGCAGTGTTGGGTACCAGCTTGATTGGTTTCCACAAAGAGTTGGACAAATTTATAGAAGTCATGGGGATCAATGGCTATTAGCCTTGATGGCAAGACTTATGAAGGCCATCTGCTTGGAGTCTAATTGGCTTCCTTCTCAGGTAGGTTGGCTACTGTTGTTATAGATTGCAGAGTCTGATCCAGTAAGGCACTGCTTATGTTTTTATGTACTGATTTAAATGCATAAAAATAACTTCTATAAACTTACAATTAAAAAGAGCAGAACTTCAAACTTGGAATGATTAAAGAAAAACCAGCTTGTAGTATGCCATTTTTATATAAGATCTTTTTAGTATCAGTATACATTTATAATATATATTGGTAAAAGTCTACATTGTTAGCATTCTCATTATTGTTACCAATAAATGTAGTCCTCGTTTAATGATGTTCAGCAACCATTCAAACTTACAACCACATTGAACAAGTGGTACTTACAGCTGGTTCTCATACTTGCAGCTGTCACAGTTCTTCACTATCACATGATCACGATCCAGACACTCATAATTACAAGGTCACACCATCCCATGGTCATATGATTGCCATTTGTGACTTTCACTGGTGGCTTCCCACAAGCAGAGTCAGTGGGCAAGCTGACATTGAGGTCAACATTGCAGTTAACGAGACTGCGAGTATCACTTAACAACAGCAACCAAAAGTGCCAAAACTACCATCACTAAGTAACGTTGTCGCATGATGTCATGCTTTATGACCACGTTGCTTAGCAATGGAAATTCCAGTCTCAACTGCCATCATTACTGAGTTGCTCCTGTACTATTCTTACATTGTATCCTGTGGACTCTCAGCTTTCTCTGGTAATTTTTTTTCTCCAAGTAAAGGAGTGTGAAATATGATGGTCTGAGAAAAAGTAAGTGGCCCAATTTAGCCACATGGGACTTGAATTCAGCCTTTCCTGTCCTAGTTCAATACTTTAATCACTACTGCCCTAAATAGACTGGGCATGGGCTTATTAAAATTTTGTTTCCAATTGTTAATAATGTTGTTTTAATATATGAAAATTTTCAGTTATATATAAAAACAGTTTCACTATTGTAGAAAAAAATGTGAAAATACAATAAAGTTCTATAGTTTATCGGCTTACATCCAGCACCTAGTAACAAGATATAGCACCTATCAGTACAGAACAACACAGAGAGGTGGAATTATGTCCTTAGAGAACTCTGTGTAGATTTATCCTGAGAAATGTTTTGCCTTTAATAGAGGAGAAAGTGTGGTAACAAGGGATACATAATGGAAGCCTTACATTCATAGAATCAAACGTTTCTAATTTCTCTCACCAAAGAAAATAATCCATGGAGTTAACATTGTGTTTCCTCTTGTTGGTGTTACTGAGTAATTATTTTTTTAAAAAAAAAAATTCATTAGGCTTTAGAGATGGCAAATATTTTGCCACAAATCCACTTTCCATCATACCAGAATTGCTTAGCATGATGACGCTTTGTTTGCAGTGAATATTTTTCTCTTTCATTTCCTAGCCCCAAAACCAATAAGCCATTCAGTGTCTTCAGTCAACATAAGAATTGGTGGTCGGACAACTATGAAATCTGTTGTGTGCAAAATGAATCCTATGTCAGATGTGGCTTCGTGTGGATCAGAAGTTAAGAAGTGGTGGACAAGGCAACTTACTGTAGAGAGTGACGAGAGTGGAGAAGACCTGCTTGAGATCTGATTGGGAAACAGTTCCTGTCAAAGACACACTTATGCAACATAACTGTGAAGGAATAGCATCTCTGGACATTGCTGCTTTTTAATAAGCAGTTCTAATTGATTGTTTATATCAAGATAAGCTTTGGAACTCACTGTCCTTCAACTTGGCAAGATTTACTACTTAATGTTTATTTTGAACATCCATGATTATTAATGAGCAACATAAATGTTCAGAAAAAATAGACGAGTTTTGGCCTTGTTCCCATACATCATGAGAAACGCCTCAGGCTCTCAGGCAGGACTTCCTACTTTCCAGCAGACTTTCAATATTGTTTCTCAGCGAATATTTGAAATGTCAGGTTTGTCTGAAAGTATATTATTGTTGCTTGCTAAAATTTGGGAAACAGCAACACAGGGCTAATAGTAATATACAACATGTCATGATGTGTACCAGGTTGATATTCTATTTTAATAGTATAGGTAAGTTATGAGGAACACAACATTTTTATTTAGAGACACTGGGACACAATTGTTGTGGAAGTAAAAGCACCCCAAAGAAAATATTGGTATGGACATGCTGCTAGTGTTTCACATCACTGAATATTTTTGTTTAGGTCAGGGTAGGTGACTTCTTTCAAGCTAAGATACATGTTGAATGGTTGGGTTGGACTGTAATCCCAAAAAACAGATAAACCAAGATAAAAACTAAGATACTTTTAATTTGATTATATTTATTTTAGTTAAATTATTTCCTATTACATATGGTTAATAGGATTACTCTGTGTGTATTTTATAATTTTCCCTTTTTTCAAATTAAATATTGCAGTTTTAGTAGCAATTTTTTGAAAATTTCGGAGGATACCATGCAATACACTGACCTCAGGTTGTGCTTCTCTTATTGAGATAAATAGTATTCCTAGGTTAATTCACAGGTATCCTTGTCTATGTATATCACTCGATCATTGAAAACAAACAATATTTCATGTATTTGATTTGTGTTAAAGTTTACATACAGAGATAGTGGGACAATACTTTCTCTGATATTGTCAGGATTCCCTTTGCCCTAAAATAATAATTTAAACAAAATGGCAACAACGTTGATTTTTTTTTTCCTATAGTATTCTACCCATCAATATCAGTGTTGTTTAATGATCTGGAATTAGAAAGAGGTGATTATTTATTTTCTGTTTTTACAATATCTATATTTTAATATGCAAGCATAATGTGGTTGGTTTAAAAATAGGGTTTCATTGTTCATATTTATAATGTGCTTAATTGAAGTTCACTGATTTTTATCAGTGCACCTGTTTAATAAGTTCCCTGCTTTTTCATCTCTGTTAATATCTTATCATCTATTAGAAATGAAACAAAAATAACCAATGTAGATGTAACTACTTAACTACATTCTGTACATACATACATATGTATATCCATCCATCCATCCATACATACATACATACATACATGCATACATACATACAGGTTCATACTTGATATTGGGTATAAGACTCATGGCAGGCCTAGAAAGAAATCTGATTTTGTGCTTCATTATCCTTGTTAGAAATTGTTTTTCTCAGAGATTATTTCTAACTCAGTATTTAAAAATTATTATATTATTATATATAAGTAATTATATACTTAGTCATTAAGTATATTATGTGAGATTAACTAAAGTATGCTCTTGTAAGTAATCTATTTTCTAGTCATGCTTGAAATGTCTTTTTTAAAAAAACAATACTTTGATACCAATCACTATTAAGGTAAGTATGAAATAATGCATTAAGAAAAGAAAATAGTTGACAATTCTAAGATTCTACTTATAAAGATTCTGAATTCCAGATATTTAATGAATGAGAGCAAATGAACGTTTTAGGAGCACACAATTATGAACCTTCATTATGCATCTAAGTATCATAGAAAAATGAGCCAGACACATGAGCATTGGGAGAAATTAAAGATTATGAAGGCTGGAGAAAAACTTGGCTCTAATCACTGCTCTGTTTCAACTACTCAATTATAGGCTATAGAAATGAAAATCCAGCAACTGACAGGGATCATTATCTCTCATCTCAAGAGTAAGGACAAATAGACCATCCTCCTAATTTTAGTTTTGTATTGGCCACAGTAATGAAGAGTATGTCTTTACTACCTCTGAAGTGCTTTTACCTTCACCACAATCACTCGTTCAAAACTTGAACCAGGTGGTTTTTAAATACAAAAATGGAAGAGTTAAGATTTTCTTCAATTTGCCTGTGAAGGATAAAGTTTGGCAGGCATCATAACTGATCAGAATATGAGATCAGGCAATGGTTCCTCCAGAAAGTGTGACCTTTTTTTTGTATGTCTTTGCATTGTGCTTTAATGGTGTGCAAAATATTTTATATTTGAAGCTTTAATGTATGAAATTTCACAAAATGTCCTGTTCTGGGTGTAAAACTGCTGTTTCAAATACGAAACAATCTGTTCTGAGCATTTTGGAATTTTCTTTGAGCTATAAACAGAGGCATTCTGAGTATTTTGAATGTTTGTTTCCAAACCATAGATGAACGTCATATGTAGTATGACCAAACGACAGCCATCTTACTATTTCTATCAAACAATTAAATGTATGGGGAGGAAGAGAAAGGATTCTGATGCCTACACATAAACAATAGTGTTTGTAGGGTTTTGTATCTGCTTTCCAACAGTGGCATCTTTGGGGTGAGATCTTTGCCACTACCATCATTTCCTATGGAAAATACGTTGCACTACTATGACAAGTCCAGCTTGAAAGCACCAGAAACATAAGAGTTCACCTTAAAAAAACCTAAAAACTGTAAATTGTCCATGTTCTCCAAGAGCCTTATGGACATAAAAGTCCCAGCAAAACTAACAATCTTGTGTTAGGTTGATGCACGCTTTTGTTCTTAATGCAGGTTTTATTTTAACCAAAAGATATGTATCCACAGACTTGTATTGCATTTGATTATTTTTGGTCACAGATTACTGTCTTTATGTAGTTGTCTATGTGTACATTTTGCTGTTTAGAGTTAACATTTACATGGAAACTTCCTACAATCTGTTTACCAAACCTGTGCATTTTGTTGTTTAAACTAGATTACATCAAAAACCATCAGAAAATATCATTCCTACTATTGTCAAAAATAGTTATTTGTCTTTTCTTTTATGTCTACTTTAACTTAATATTTTTTTAGAAAAAAAATAAAAAACAGGAGCGATATTCAGATTTATAAAATACGTTTTCTTGGACTTTCAATACTGTGCTGAATTACAGAAACTTTCCTAGTTATTACTACAAGTATTCTTTTTAAACCTCTAGCAAATATCCTTTGACATATAATGTCAATAAAAGGCAGTTGCTTTCAGCGGTTACCTGCTTAGGATTTCATTCTCAGTGGTTTTGCTACCTTATTTGATGCAATGTCTATATTTCATCTCATTTATTTTAAACATTTGGGAAACTTCTCAACCAAATAACAGTAGTAACTCAGAATAGCTTAATAGATAAACAGTAGATTTTAGATTGCATCAAGAGAGAGACATTTCAAGATCACATGAAGAAATAATACCATTTTATACTGCACTGGTGAGACTACACTTGAAATACTGGATCCAATTCTGGTCACCATAATACAAAAAAGATGTTCAGATTCTAAAAAGAGTGCAGAAAAGACCCACAAAGATGATAACGGGTCTGGAGGCTAAACCATAGGAAGAATGATTGAGGGAACTAGAATATGTCTGGTCTAGCGAAGAGAAGGACCAGGGATGATACGATAGCAGTCTTCCAGTAATTGAGGGATTGTAACAGAGAAGAGGAGGTCAGACTATTCTCCAAAGCAACTGAGGGCAGGACAATTAGAAACAGATGAAAGATCATTAAAGAGAGATCCAATTTAGAACTAAGAAATTTCCTGAAAGTGAGAACAATTAATCAGTAGAACAGCTTACTTCCAGAAGTTGGTGCTCCGTCACTGGAGATTTTCAAGAAGAGCCATTTGTCTGGAATGGCATAGGATTTGCTGCCTGAATGGGAGGTTGGATTAGAAGACGTCCAAGGTCTCTTCCAACCCTATTATTATATATACTATAGTAATAATTGCAATTTATTTAATTTTAAAATGTGCAAAAAAAAACCCTAGCAGAAACTAAAACAAATCAAATTCCTGTTTCTGTAACAGGAAAAGTTGTGAATGTTCACTTAGTTGAAGGCAAAAGTCTTTATATAATTTGATTCCCTAAGGTTTTCTACTAAAAAAACCCCTATAGATCAGAGGTTGTGATTTTGTTCCAAGTGATTTGACCCATGTGAGTTTCAGGAAAAGGCGGAAAAGCTTTGCATAGTTCTCACAATTGTCATTGGCTATATGGAAGTGGTTCGAATCCCTAGTGCAGCATAATGGGGTGAGCTCCTGTTACTTGTCCCAGCTTCTGCCAACCTAGCAGTTCAAAAGCACATAAAAAATGCAAGTAGAAAAATAGGGACCACCTTTGGTGGGAAGGTAACAGCGTTCTGTGTGCCTTTGGCATTTAGGCTTGCCGGCCACATGACCATGGAGACATCTTCAGACACAGCTGGATCTTCGGCTTTGAAACGGAGATAAGCACCGCCCCCTAGAGTCGGGAACGACTAGCACATATGTGCGAAGGGAACCTTTACCTTTACTATATGGAAGCAGTTGATCATAGAGCCTCTTAGGTCTCTCCTCCTCTCCCCACACAGCTCCATGGTTTTTTCTTTAGCAGCAGCCTTTTGCACAAAATTGAGAAATTGAACAGTAAACAGGCAAACAGGTTTTAACTGTTACATATATGCGTGTTTGGCTAATCTAAAAAGTAGCCAAGCAAAGTACTTTCTCAACATATTAGTTTGCCATATATGTGCAGTATCTAAGTGCAGCCCAGTTGATTTTGTTTCTTCATAAACAACCATGTACAGTTTCTCAAAATCATGTACAGAAGGTGGGCTGAATCAAACAGTATAAATGTAAAAGTATGTTACGGTATTTACTATTCCAGGTTTACAATGATCAGAAGAACTGCAAATGTTCTTGTGGACCATCATTTCACCTATTTTCTGAGCCATCCTCCCACCTTTTCTTGAGTTCTCACCTCTTTACTAGCCTGCCTCCTGAACATTTCCAGGGTATCTTCAACTGGTACCAGTTGGTTGCCATTACCTCATTGCAGCAGCTGCAGCAAATTTTAAACAAGGACACATGAGCTATGCCTAACCAAGAACCTAAGAATCAACAATCTATGAATCCGGCATACAGTGTATGATATAAAGCAGGGGTCATCAAACTTGGCAGCTTTAAGACTTGTGGACTTCAATTCCCAGAATTCTCCAGCCAGCAAAGCTTTGCTGGCTGGAGAATTCTGGGAATTGAAGTCCACAAGTCTTAAAGCTGCCATGTGTGAAGACCTCTGATTTAAGGGGCCTGGAAACATACTAGTATATTTCTGTTGCTCATGTTTTTATTGCTAGACTTTTCAATCCCTGTTTCTTAAAGAAGACCCGGGTTTTGGCATCAGCTGAAGAATACAAGGAAGAAAGTCAACTGTGATGGCCGGTTTTATACTCTGCACTGCAAACCATCTGGCCCCATCTGCCACAGTGCAGAGGAGACTATTCTAAAGTACAGCAGGTTGAGAAGCAAAAAAAAAAAGAGGAGAAATTAGACAGCACTTTTGTGGACAAAGCTGCATTTGCCATCTGCCAGACATCACTGCAGTGCTCTGGAGATCCCTGCCTGCCCGGCTGGCTCCTAAGTTGGCAGCTGGACATGCTGTGTCTTTTAATTCTTCCCCGAGCATCATTCGTGCTTCTAGGCCAGAATAATCATGCTGATCTGCCATTTACATTCAGCCAGATATTGGTTTCTCATGGAGTTTTAGAAGTACTAATAAACTATTAAGAAACCCTTTGGTGTAATTCCTTGGCTTATGGATCAATATATAACTGTGGCAGGAAATACGTCTAATTCTTTCCCCAGCGAAATACTGGTAGCTGGAATTCAGTCAGTCTTTTTCTTAATCTGAAGAACTTTCCAGACTTTTAAGGGAGGAGGATGCAGTATCAAGTTTTGCATTTGAAAACAATCCCCCACCCCCGAAAAACAGTCCAGTAACTTCCTGTAGCTTCATGTTGCAGATCAAGCTACAGCTTCATAGATGAGCTTCCATACATACAGAGAGTATTCTGTTGGTGAGTTGATACTTTATGCTACGTCTTCAGCAGGCTCTATTGAATGAACAGTCACGACTGCCTGGCTTTATACCCTGTGCTAACACCTCAAGATTCAGATGGATGTCGACAGACTTGAACACGGGACTCTATCTAACAAAATGAAATTCAATGTAGAGAAAAGTAAGGTTTTATACTTAGGCAAAAAAAAAAATCAAATATACAGCTACAGATTAGGTAAAACCTGGCTCAATAGCATTAACAGTGAGAGAGGGATCTTGGAGTCCTATTGGACAATTACTTACCGCATTTTTCGGAGTCTAAGACGCACCTTAGTTTTTGGGGAGGAAAATAAGAAAAAAGCTGATTGGCAGGTGGATCGGACTCCCGGAATACCCCCAATCAGCTGTTCCAGAGGTGACTTTTAACAACAGGTTCGTTGGTTGTGAGCTCTGTGCCTTGCTTTTTCTTTTCAGCCTCTGAAACTTCTGAAACTCTGTTTCAGAAAAAAAAAAAATTCTGCCCCTGAAAGCCTCTGAAACAGAGCCTCAGAAAAAAAGCCTCTGAAACTTTCAGAGGGTTTTTTTCTGAAGCTCTGTTTCGGAGGCTTGTTTTCTGAAGCTTCATTTCTGAGGCTTTTTTCAGCCTCTGAAACCTCTCTTTGAGAGGTTGGGCGGAGCTACATTCAGAGTGTAAGACGCATCCAGATTTTCACCCTCTTTTTTGGGGGAAAAAGATGCATCTTATACCCCCCAAAAATACGGTAAATATGAGCCAGCAGATTACGGCAGCACCCAAAAAAGCCAATGCAATCCTAAATTGTATTAACAGGGATATAAACAAAACCATGTGAAGCATTAGTACTGCTTTATAAAAAACCTTAGTAAGACCACACTTAGAATACTGCATCCAGTTTTGGACACCATATTATAAAAAAGATGTAGATACTCTGGAAAGAGTGAAAAAAAGAGCAACAAAGTTGATTAGGGGGCTGGAGGCTAAAACATATAAAGAACAGTTGCAGGAATTTACTTTGCATTCTAGTGAAAAGAAGGACTTGGGGAGACATACTAGTGTTCCAATATTTGAGGTGCTGTCACAAAGAAGAGGGTGACCAACCTAGTTTCCAAAGCACCAGAAGACAAGACAAGAAAAAATGGATGGAAACTAATCAAGGAGAGAAACAATCTAGAACTATGGAGAACTGTCCTGATGGTGAGAACAATTAATCAGAGGAATGGCTTGCCTTCAGAAGTTATGGGTGTTCCATCATTGAAGGCTTTTAAGAAGTGTCTGGACAGCCACTGTCTGGAATGGTATAGGATCTCCTGCCTAAGCAGGGGATTGGACTAGAAGACCCTCAATGCCCCTCCAACTTTGTTATTCTGTTCTGTTCTGTTCTGTTCTGCTAAACCATATTTAATAAACCATAGGTTTATAAAAACCCATACTTTTGCTTAATACAGTTGATTAATTCAGAGGGCACCATCCAAGCCATTGCCTGAATGTTTGTCATTATACCAAACACCATGATCAAAGATTTCATACCATTACCATATCACTAAAAAGTAGTTTGCACTTTCTAACAAGTCGATGTACTGGGGGGGTGTTCATATCTGAGAGTGTCAGTCTGAAGCCATGCTTACCTCCATGAACTCCAGTGGTGGGATTCAATTTTTTTAACAACCAGTTCTGTGGGCGTAGCTTGGTTGGGGGTGTGGCTTGGTGGTCATGTGACCGGGTGGGCGTGGCTAGCTGGTCATGTGACCGGGTGGGCATGGCTATGTGCATAGGGACTACTCAGAGGGCTGAAAAAAAGTCATTTCTGACTGGTCCTCACACTTTTGACCTGTCCTCGCACTTATGACCATCCTCACATCTATGCCCGTTGCGGCATTCTTAACAACCGTTCACAACTGCTTCTCTTCATTATGGTGACAAGATAGGGCAAAAACGTAAAATGTGAGGACAGTCGTAAGTTCGAGGACTGGTCAAAAGTGCGAGGACCAGTCAAAAATAACTTTTTCAGCCCTCTGAGTAGTCCATAT